GGAGCCCAGGAAGCCAACCAGGGCTGACATTTCCAAGGGGACTTAGAATGTTCTGATGGTTGTGCTTGCCAAAATTTAGCCCCAATGCGCAGGTCTTAGGGATGATATTTCTGAAAAGTGAAATAGGAAAAAAACTAAAACCCAAGGAAATTTAAAGAGGTAAAACCTCACCATATGTTTACAGACTATCTGTAATGTTTGAAGGTGTTTGAAAAACACAGTCAATTCTCTCAAGCACCCCTAGAGGCAAGTGTGGGGATGTACATTTCAATTCCAGTAAGCAACAATCACAATCAGCAGAGGTTAAATGATCTGGTTACAGTGAACACAAGGACATGACTAAGATCGGCTCAGATTCCCCACATTCTATGGACAGAAACAGAAATGTAGACAGATCTGTCAAAGGGTTTAATTTTCATAGATGTTCTGGGTGTCACATAATCTAAATTCTAAAAACACTTTGGAATATATTTAATTTAAATATATTTCTAAAACTCACTATGCTTATAAAAGTATTTTTAATCTAAAATATCATGGCACAGGAATGTTGACGGTCATTCCAAAAAAGTCCAAATTCACAGACATGTGTAAGGTGGCCAGGAGGAAGAGAAGTATAGAGGATTTCCAGTAACTGCCAATTTTATGAACTTAGAGGTAACACTGATTTTTAATTAGCAACTAGTTTATCTCAAAACATAATTAAAAACTTTTCAAAGGTGCTATTTCTAAAATGATTTATTCTCAACCATGCACATATGAAAGACCATCAAACCATTAGCCAGAGGTGACCAGCAGGCATATCTCCCAGGGAAAAGATGCTCACGTAAATAGTAGCACAGACTACCTAAAAATGAAGCATTGATTTTACAAGCTAGAGATGGGATCTTTTAAAAAAATGAATTTACACACTAGTGTAATGATAAATCTGTCAGTCTATATCTCTGGTTATTGAACCTCAGAATTAACCAATATAAATGCAACACTGAAATAAATATTATAAGAAGAATCCCACTCTCCCTCCCCCAAAACTGTGTGGGTTATGATTTAAAATGAAACAAAAGTCATTGATTTAGGGGAAGGGAAGGAGAGGTACAAGGCTCAAGAATGGAAACGAAACATATTTCTCCTTGAGATGAAAGCAAATAAACAACAAAAAAAAATAATGGCTTCAATTTATATACCGTCTTTGAATCACAAAAAAATGTGACCAGTTACATAATGTAAGTGACCTAACCCTCACAATAGGTGTGTCACAGAAAAGCTACCACTATTACTTTCAGATCTAAAATCTCACTATAAAGCACAACAAAAGTAAAAAGAAGAAAAACTCAGCCATAATTCCACTTACATTAAAACCATCATTGTTAGCCTCTGAACTATGTTAAGCTTTTAGTTTTAAAACTCCATTTGGCTGGTGCAGAAGCTGAGGGACACCAATGACCTGTGCTTGTGGACATGGAATGAAAACATCCTCCTATAGACCTAAAAGGACCCTGGGCTGCCCACACAGGCAGGAAGGGGCCAGTGACTATCAAGGTGTCTGCCACCCACCTCAGATGAGTCCCTGTGTGCTTTCTCTCTTGAGATACAATGGAGATGAAGGGCCAGGCAGTTAGAACCAAGTGCATCTCTACTTAAAGTCCCCTCATCTAAAGTGTTCAACTAAGGACCTTACTCCTTACAGAGTTCTGAGGTCAAGGCTATTTATTTAAAATTGAGTAGACAAATTTCCCTGGTGAACCAAACATCTATTCTTTAATACTTTTAAGGCTTCATAAATTAAAGAGATTTTTTTTTTCACCCAGAGAGAACAGAAATGAGAGCTCTAAAACAACCCTAAGTGTGGATCCATTTGGAAACCATGAATCTGACACAGAGGTCAGAAGCCAGCAACAACCAAACTGACTCAGAAATGGAAAAAGAAACTCAGCAGATTCATAAATGGCCCCATGAGCCCAAGGCCTAACTAGACTCAGATTCACAGGTGATACAAAACTTTCTCCTGAAGGATTCAGAAGCCAAGTTGATGCTAGCTAGCGCAGAGGTCAAGGACAGCTGCATGATCTGACCATCTGGCCTCAGTACCACCAAGGATACGGATGCTGCTAACACTCCCTACAAGTCTGCATGGAGCCAATGGAAGAAGCCATGTTTACTGAAAGTCAGTCTAGAACCACTCTTTTCCACCCTACTGTAAAAACTGGGTTTAAAATTCTCCCCGAGAACAGTCTTGAACACCGCCCTCTACTATTTATCCAGTGAATTTAGGTACTATCAGATCATCCTGCGTAGACACATTTCCTGAATGCTCAACAAACCATAGGCTGCTACATCACACATGGCTATTTCATGAACCCTGGGGTGAAGAGCTGGGATTGTGCTCATGGGGACTTCTAAAAAAAAACCAAAAAACCAAAACAATGAACTATAATGATAGCAATAAATGACTTCATATGTAATTGTTACCTAAATCTGTTCAGCTACTGTTTTCCACTCATGTGCACCTGATAGACCATATGAGCTATTTATCCTAACTTCAGTTTGTAGTTTTAAATGGTGGTTCTATTAAAAATAGACTTAGAATACAGCTGTGAAATCTTAGTCATTATGACTTACATTGTCAACTAGTTAGCTTATAAAATGCAGAACTCAAGGTCTCTGGGGTGTATGTGTATGTATAAGCTATGGATAAAGAAAGTAAACTTTGCAGAGTAGAGAGAATTAACTGTGTTAATAACTGAAAATTAATGAATATATATATAATTTTTTTTAACCTAAGAATTAAGTTTGATTGAAGGCAAAAAAGTAATAATGCAGATCCTCTGTGATTTTTCTGTACCAATCTTTCAAAATGTCCAATTATAGATGGAATGTTTCTGCAAGTGTTCTTATGATAACACTATCTTTTTAGTGTAAATCATCAGTTGTAGGGAGCCACATGTACATTCAAACATTGAGACTCTTAAGAAGTAAAAGGAACATGTGTGTCTGAGAAGGAGGAGGCCATTTGACCCCACAATTTATTGCAATAGCCCTAAATGGAAACATGTCCTTTTGCATTCTGTGAGATGAAAACATGCTGTTTTGAGTATAGAACAAGACTTTCCAATTGTCTTCCATTTGGGAATTTCTGGTTTTCCACTAGAATAATTCTTTCTTGTTTTAACATTCTTACTAAAGAATTTTAATTGGCCACTGGCTTTTTCTAATAGCAATGACCTTAAAGGAACTCTAAGGCACCAGTAAAATGCTGTTGCATCATCCATCAGGATGGAAATAAACATGTATACACACACACACACACACACCACACACAAACACACATATACACACATACAGTAGACTTGAAAAACACCTGAAACCTTAAGAATAATTTTTTTTTTAAAATTCCAAGTGATATACTTCTTACTAAGCATAGTTAATTGGAACATTAGCAAAAAAGGTCATTCCATCTCTATCTAACCTTCTTGGGAATTATGAGTTACCTATTAGTGTTAGGAGCACTATGCTAGGGGCATAAACCAGAAACTGTAATAAATCTTGCTCTGCATTTTTATGGTAATTTTATTTCCTTTTTCCTATTTTAAAAGGAAATTGTAATACCATCTTACTCAAGAGAAATGGGTAAGGGCATTTCATCACTGTAAGCCAAAAACAAAAACCTGCACTGATGAGTTTTAAATCATCCCAGGGGGCTAAGGCCATAACTCCTCAGTGCTTTCTAGTCCAGACACGAATAATCTGTCATCTGGAACTTGGCATGGGAGTTTTGATTAACACACAGGAAATCTTACCAGGCCAAGAAAAAATTATTAGTAAATGTATACAAGAATTTTCACAAACAGTCAAAGTCAAGGATGTATATGCAATATTAAAGTGCACATGTACAACACAGACACAGACTCACACTACTGGAAGTGGAAAGCAGAACTGATCACAAAGACATCTGGTCTATTAGATAAAAGTTACATTCTTTTACAAAATGAATTTATAAGTTTCTTAATTGATACAGCTCCCAGTTAAGGATTATGCTTTCATAATGCTCTCCTTTTCCTAAAGAAAGATTAGAAGGCTCTTGCCAACCCCACACCATCTCTTAATCTACTAAATTAAAACAAGAAGAGGATATTTTAAAAAAGACACAACAAGGGGAAGAAAAGAGGGGAGAAGGGTAGGATCACTTTGGTCAAATCCAGTAACTCCTACTGCTGAGGAGAACTACTGAATTTTAATTCTTTCACATGTTCAAAAACCGTATCTCATGACAAGATTTTTAAGTTGCTCTATGCTGGGGTCTTAGGAAAAACAGAAGAACTCATAGGAAATAAAATTGCTATCCATTTCCATTTATTACAGTGATGGCTACAGAGAATTACCAACTGGTCCTACAGCAGACCAAAGGAGGAAAAGTAAATGCAAACACTTCATAAAACATAAAGCAATACACAAGCATTGTTATTATTATCCTTAATAATAACAATGATTACCATATTTTCAATGTTCAGTATTTGATTCACATACTCAAAATGCAACTACAGGGAATGAAAATCAACAGTTACTAGGGCTACTATAGGTCTCTTCTTTAGAGCTCTGAATAAGGAAACCATCAGCTTCAAAGTTCTATTGAACTTGCTCATTTATAGCCTCAGCAACTTCTGTTCTTAGACTAGAGAATCTACTGATTCTCATTTATCTAGCTGATTAATTTTTTTCCAGCTTGGAATTTCACATTTATTTCAAAATTTTAAAGAAATTACTATCCCTTTTCCCTCAGCATTGAACATACTCTATAAAGCCATATTAATATCACTGCTCATGTCCCCAAAGAAATAGAGCAATTTAAATTAAAATTTTATATAACAAACCCCAAGATTATTCCTTGAGAAAGGTTGAGACTAAAAAAGAATGTGCAAAGCTTTACCTACACTAAATGGTTCTAGCACATACATGAAATAAAATTTTTACTAAGACATGGTTATTTGAACAAAGTTTGATGTTACCTCTGGTACTCCCAGTTTTCGGCATGCTTCCAAAAAGTTTTCCACATTTCTTCTGCATTTGGCCATGCTAAGTTTGGGCTATAAGTACAAATACACAGAAATACCATATTATTAAAATAAAAACATTACTGAGAAACATCTTCTAAAGATAAAATTTGTTAATAGTTTGGGCTGTATTCTTGGAGACATTGTGTATGTGTATGCATACAGATGTATACTCATATAAGTATGGATATGGATATATAAGATGTATATATACCAAGATGCATGCAAAGTTTTCTGCATACATATACATACATGTGTATGTGCATGCACACACCACACACACACTCCTACACACAGTTTTTATGGGAACATATTGCTGTGTAACCTGCTTTATTTCACCTAAATATATACCTTACACATCACCTTTCTGCATCAACAAACATATTTCTATAGGAAAGGTTTAATTCATTAGGCTAAGTAATTGCCTCAGCAAAGTGACAGATTTAATCAGAAAGATGCAATGAGGTAAACAGCACCAAAAATAGTGGGTGTTTAGGATTTAACCCAAAGCATCTCACCACTGAGTTGACTTCTGTTACAGATGACCTTGAAAGTGTGGGATGGAAAATAGGTTCACTTGATTCATATGTTCTAATTTTTGCATGGAAAATTTTAAACTCTTTCCTGCTAACTTTTAATATTCCACTGTTAGTTTCCTTAAGAGAGAAGCAAGAAGCATAACTGATCCCAACAGTCTTGTGTAGAAGCCATGATTTACAAAGACTACCCTTATCCTGTTAATAGAATGAAGTACATCTTACAAGGACTCAAGCCAATCATCATTGAAGTCTAAACCTGTGCAGCATTTATTAAATAAAAGAAAATGAAAGGGCATCCCTCATTCTCCTCTACCTACAAAGAAGAAAGCAAGCATGTTGCCCCCATAGAATAACTTCTGGAAGGTTAAACAAATCCTTCATATTGGCTAGAAAGGGAGTCCCCTTAGCTGGGCTGCATAAGATGTGACAAGCAGCTGCCCGGGTGGTTTTGCCCTCGCCCCAGAACATCTTGGGACATGCTAATGGTGTAACACAGCCATACTTACTGTTTCCTAAGTGTTAGATGCTACACTTGGTATAAAGAACAACTGTGGGACCAAAAGATGCAAACCATGTGGTCACTTAGCTCAAGGGTAGCTGGAAACATTAACAAGCTAAAGGAAACTGTAATATAAAATAGGACAGTTCTTAGTGGGGAAGGAGTTACTATAAGGGAAAAAATACAAACGACAAGGAGACCCAATCGCAAGGAGTCAAGAATGGTTTGCATCTTGTAAACACTGAAGCAGCAGAGAACTGGGAGCTGGGGTTGCTGAAGGCCAAGCAGATGAGATAGGCAGCAGCCTTCCAGGCAGAGAACTGCCTGCCCATAGACTGGAGCAGAGAGCAAAGGCACAGACAGTAAGCAGACTCCAGGCCAGAGGTGGCTGGTGGCCGGGCCTATCAGAAACAGCTTCAAGAAGCTCACTTTAGCAGTTTAATATTTTGCACAGTTAATAAAAAAAAAAAAAAAAGAAGCTCACTGCAGTTTGGGTGAATGGACATGCAGAAACCAACTGTATCTCTCAAAAGAAAAAAATGTAATGTAACAGCACAGGCTAAAATCTATTACATGCCTTAAAACAGATATTTAGAAAGAGTTTTAATGACAGTGGGAGAATATTTAGGTTTGAATAATAAATTTTATAAATTCCTAAAGAGTATATATCAGAGAGAAGATCATAATCAAGAATAAATGTACAGAACATGTGAGTAGTGAAGAAGAAGGTTAATCATGACTATCTTTGAGCAGTAGGAAAAGGATGATTTATTTTTCTTTTTTTCAATATTTATTTATTTACTTATTTTGCTAGGCTGGGGGTTGAACCTAGGGCTTTGTACATGCTAGGGAAATGTTCTCCTTCTGAGCTACATCCCTAGTGCACTCTTTTGTTTTTCTTTATTTTCTCTAATCAGGCATTATTTTTCTCAATTAAAAAATTTAATATCATAAAAAGAAAAAACTGAAAAGATTTCTAAAGTACGGTATTGTTTGTCTGGAAAAATGAATAAAATAAACAAAGTGTATAGATTCGTGACTCAGAGTGTCCTCTGGCACCTTATCAAAGGATAGCTGTATGTTCCTGTTGGAGGCTGAGGACTCAGTGTCTTTTGTGTAATTGGGGAAACATAATAAAATGAGAACATGGTGCGTGGCTCAGGCAACTTATGGCTGTTTAAACCCCATCTGCAAAAGATACCAGAATGTCTCTTACTGGATCAAAGGGTGGAATTTACTATACTCCACTGAGGCTATTAGAGTCAGATTTGAAAGAAAAGCCAAATTGGTCTCCCCACAAGTCACACTTTTGAAAGAAAAAATGAATTCAATATTATAGAAAAGAAATTGACAGTTCAAATGGGATCATTGGCTCACTTTTCCTACTGCCAAGAGAAAACAAAGTAGGATTAATAATGCCATCATGAGACTTTCCTGGGCACAGGGATGGGGACAGGGCTTCTCATAAGCTTTCTCCCAATACACTGAATGCATTGGACCTTGAGATTAGGAGCTAAGGATTCTTAGCATCTGCTCTCTATATAATCATGAGTGATAGTAATGGTTCACCTTTGTGTGCGTACCCTCTGTCGTATCTCATCTCACCAGAACAATGCCATGACAGAGAAGAGCAAACCGAGTTCAAGACAGAATATACAACTTGCCAAAGTCCTACCTATGACTGTCAGACACAGACCTAGAATTTTCACCCAAACTTTACATTCTTAGCTCTAAACTCTGTTGCGCTCCCCTAATGCAGCGCTGTGAAGAGAAATTCTTCTCTCTTCTCTGTCTGTCTAAGCTCTATGTGGGTTTCAAAGACAAGCTTATCCCTGGTTCCTTCCCTGGCGCCTCAGCAACTATAGAACAGACTGCAGTTCTCTCTGGCTCACATGAGGACAAGGATCCCACGTCTCCCCCATAGGGGAGATGAGAAATTGGGGGGCACTGATGCCAGCAAGTCTCTGGCACAGAGAGATGCAAAAAGGGTGGAATACACGATTAGCTAACTGACCTCTGGCTTGACAGGTCATTAATAATTTCCCACAGAATGCACATCTTTTCAGGACAACCCTAACATCCCAATGATGAAAAAGGGGAAGAGATTTCATCTAGAAGGGAAGCCACTAACTGCAAGAGCTTTCTAAAAAGACCCTCACCGTTGGAATAAGGCTGTGTGAGAAATGAATCTTTACATTCTTCTAGTCTTGAAGTTAGCACCACGAGCAGTAATTTCTTTAAACTTGATGTCTGAAATAAAGTTTGTTTTTCCTTGCCATTTACATGTTTAGTTTTCAATGTCATCCCTTCCTAGTGAAATGCCACTTCACTTGGACCCATTCCTTTGTTCTGGGCTTCTTGTTGTCTGGGGCCCAACAGAAAGGATCTGAGTGGGGTCCCAGGGATCCCTCTGGCATCCTTAACCAGAAATACCGTCTAAAGAGTCTGCTTATGTCAGTCAGTGGTACTTACAACCGCCGGTGAGGGGACATGGATGCTTGCGACAGACCGTGGGCGAATGTGATTGACCAGGTGGCAGAGGACAACGCCATCCATGAGGGCCGCGCCCAGGTCTTCGTGCAGTGTGACCTTGAGCCGCATCTCGATGCTCTGTGGGGGAATCAGAAGGGAGCCGGTTACTATGGACAGTGAGGCCACCGAGGGTAAAATACAGGGACAAGTATTCATGAACCAAGTCCCCAGTCTCTTAATGCAGACAAGGATTAAGAACACCTGGAAGATGCTGACATTACTTAAATATTTTCAAACAATATAAACAATCTCTTGGCATAAAAACAGAATTTAGTTGTGTCCAAAATTTCTAATTGAAATGACAGGAACAATGAGATCACTTCTTGAGTGCAATGTTCCTCGGCCTCAGCTATGAAAACACAAAAACAGAATGAAGCGATAAATCAGAACCAAACCCGGGAGTGGTTCAGATCATCTGCAGAGGGTGGAAGAGGGATTCAGGATCGACTTGCTCTTAGATGATGTTTCAGTTGAGACATCAATTATTGTCGTTTTTCAAAAAAAAACAAAAACACTTGTTCTTTATATCTTTTACTTCTTCGCCGAGATTTTCTAGTTCTTTGCTGAAGACTCCATTTTTTCCTTTCCTGCAATTATATTCATCATTGCTAAAGAAGTACTTTTATCATAGGTACTTTAAAATATTTGCCAGGTGAACTGGGGTTGTGGCTCAAGGGTACAGCACTTGCCTAGCATGTGTGAGGCACTGGGTTCAATCCTCAGCACCACAGATAAATAAAATGAAGGTATTATGTCCACCTACAACAAAAAACAAACTTTTTTTTTGGGGGGGGGCGTACTGGGATTAAATTCAGGGGCACTCAACTACTGAGCCATATCCCCAGTCCTATTTTGAATTTTATTTAGAGACAGGGTCTCATTGAGTTGCTTAGCACCTCGCTTTTGCTGAGTCTGGCTTTGAACTCATGACCCTCCTGCCTCAGCCTACTGAGCTGCTGGGATTACAGGTGTGCGCCACCGCACCCAGCTCAAAAAATATTTTTAAAAAATATGTATTTGCCAATTTCAACATTTCTGCCAGATCAGTGCTGTCATCTGTGTTCACTTTGGTATCTTCCTGTTCCTTGGTGGGGTGAGTGATTTTCAGTTGAAATCTGGACATTTTTATACTATGTTATGTGAATCTGAATCCTATTCAAACCTCGGGTTGTTTTTTGAAAGCTGCCCTCGCAGAAGGGGGAACCTTCTAGTCTAGTTACTGCCAGGTGAATGTGGAAATCCAGGTTTTCTATTTGGTCTCAGTTGGCCAGGGGGTGGGGAAGGGTGGAAATCCAGACTCCCGGGTGGTCTCTGCTGGTACTGTGGGAACAATGAGGCTCCTTACTAGCAGCAGGGATCGGGTTGCCCACTGCCTTCTCTCTCAGCAGCCCAGAAAGGCAGGAGTCAACCCTCTTGATTAAGCGGTGAGGCTGGGACCATGGTTTCTTCCCTCTGGGGTTTAGCTGTCCAGTAAATTTAGGGTCTAAAGGTTTTCTGTGCTGCTAGATTGCCCATTTCCTGATTGGCTAGGGGAAGTAGGCTTTTGTTGGGGTTTTTCCTTTTTCTTCCAAAATCTGCGCCTTTTAGAGTTTTTAACTCCTTCAGCTCTTTGCCTCTGAGATATTTGAGGCAAAAAGAAAACCCGCGGGAGCTCACTTGTTTCTCAAGTCCCAAGGACCTCAGCCAGTCTCCCATCTTCTCTTAACCTTTCAGAGCACACTCAAATGTGCTTAGTGGAGCAGGAGGAAAAGGTGTGTCTACTCCATCCTCCTGGGAGCAGAACTAGAGAAATTCATTTTAAGACCTTGAATACAAGTTTCTGCTTTGCAACAGAAGCTCCTTTTAACTGGATAACTATTTATGAATAGTTGGCTTAATTTGGTGATTTGCAATAAATAAAATCTTGAAAAACAGTGTGTATAACAGAGTTGTATAAATCTCTTTCCAAACTCCCCTGTGTGTAGACACCTAATATTTTCAGGCCCTCTTTCAGTCTCTAATTTCATATCACTAAATTAAAACAATCAATATGACCCAAGTTTAAGATAAAATGATAAGAAACTGCTCTTTGAGAGGCCCATGGTAGGTTCCTGATCTTATTTTTGCTTTTACTCGGAAGTTGACCTTCCAAATTTATAGCACATCCAAATACAATGGGCAAGTGACATCCAAACACTCTTATGCTTGTTAAATCAAACACAGTGACGCTTAAAGTGGTGCCAAGAGAGTTTTTTCTTTTTTAATTCTTCCCCCTTGACTGCTTGCTAACCCATATGTGGAATACCATCTGCAATAACAAATGTGTTGACTTATCTTGGCTTGGGTTTTATTTATAGGATTCATTGCTCCTTTGTAGAATTCACTGCTGTCTGAAATTACATATTTATTTGTTTCCTTCTTATTTAGTATCTCTTCCCCAAGATGACAGGATTCATTAGAACAGGGGCCTTATTTAGCTCTTTCTATACACATGACCTAGATATATGGCCTGGTATAGGCTGGTGGTCAGTAAACATTTGCTTGTGAAAGGAGATTTTAACATAAAACCTGCATCTTCCAAGAAGCTTCTTAACCTCTCCTAGGTCATACTTCTCTTCAAATGTAATAAACTTATGCCGCAATTCATAAAGTGCTGCCTTTAATAACTAATACCAACTCCTTCTCCCTCGGGGACTGATTCATGTACTGCTATTTCACCTTCCATCTACAATCCTCCTAGGTACACATAAAGTCCCCGAGGATACACAAATATCTATGGAGTTCCCACCAGGAACCGGAAAATTACAACCAGACAGCTCTGGTCCCCGCCATCACCAAGCTTAAAATCCCAAAGGCGCCCCGTGCAAGACTTTGTCTTTCAGAGGAATTCAAATGGTTTGCCTAGTACATGACTGATTTAAAGACTCTGACCAGTTTTGGGTACAAAATGAAGACCACTATAAACAGCTTTAAATTCATAGAGTATAATTGTTAAGCAAACAAACAATGGAGTGTTATTTTAAAATATACCATAATTAAAACAATGCTACATTTATACATATGTATTAAGTATTTCTACTTACAGGAAACCCCTCTAGGGGAGATCACAACTACTTATTGAAAATACAAAAAAAAAAAAATTTGAAACTCAGGATTGTTAAGTGATTTGCCCAATATCAAACTGAAGTCAGTAACTGATCTGGCTAGATTTAAAATTAGGATTTTTTTTTTGATATAAAATGCAGCTTGGGTTCTGAAAATTATTATTTAGTTATACAATATTTCTTGGGTACCTCACGGAGTTGCTCCACCAGTTCTTTCTCTTCTCTCAGCTGTTCCATTTTCCTCCGAATTGTAAACTGTGGGTCTATAGATTCCAAATTTCTCTGAGGTCTTAGAAACACTATAACAGAAAGGGAAAAGATTGTTAGACACTGTCTTGCTCAGGTTGCGATAGAATATATATGTAAAATAATTTCTTTACTCATCCCAAATAACTAATTTTCCATGCACAGAAGTAAATTCCAAGTTTACAGGGGAAAGCCTGATTCAAATAATCAAAAGGAGATTATATGTTAAATTACTCAGAGTTGAGTGAACTAAGAAGCTATGGCATTTGGTGATGTAAACTGGATCCAGGGAAGGGTTTGGGCTGTAGAGACCATTCTAGGCCACTTCTCAGACAGATGTTGTCTCTCTCATTTTTCCACTATCTTCATTCTAACTTTTAATTTACACTCAAAATGCTTTCATTAAATTCAAATAACTTATCTCAAATAAGAAGACTCTAGAATTGCTTTACATGCTAAAAATAAATGTAGGCTAATGTTTTTCTTGACATAATATTTTTAAAAGCTTGGGTTAAGAAAGAAGTGATGACACACAGAATTACGTATTTGAGTGTGGAGTGGAAAGCTTCTGCCTTCTATCATGTCGCAGACCAGTATCCAAAAAGCCAGCTCCTTGGAGATGAGCACAGACTACTTTTGGAAAGGCCAGTGGGATTAGAGGCAGCTTAAGAGATCACCATTGGCCTAGATCCTTAAAATTACAACCTCCAAGAATAATAACCAATAAGGATGTTTCCTCTGGAAAGAATTAAGTAGATATATAGTCTCTTGGGCTGGGGTGCAGCTCAGTGACCGAGGGCTTGCCTAGCATACAAAAAGCCCAGGGCTCCATCGCCAGCTATGTAAAACAGTAACAAAAACACAAGCCCTAAATGAACTTTTTAAAAAATGACATCTTTTATAGATCAATCAAGAAGGTAAAAAATATTCTGTATTCGGAAGAATAATTATAACAATGTTTTAATTAATTTTGAATAATACAAAGCCTACAAGAAGACTTATATTTAAACTTTTCCTTCCTAAAGATGTTAATTCTAGGCTGTCAACTTTCCTTGTACACAAGAGGGAGCAAACTGTTGAGAGTTTGGCTCTTCCTGTCCCGTAGATTCTCAGACTAGGACAGTAGAAAAGAATCCTCTAGGAAATTTTGGGCACAGAATTTCCATGTTAGAAATCAACAGAAGAAATCAATATGTAGAAGGCTGCACTGGCACACTGCAATTGCTCAGTGGATCCAATCACTAGAATTTAAATAATGCCAAATAAGAAGAGTATGCAACTTTTATCCTATACTGATAAACATTTTCTACAGGCCACTTTAATTTTGCTTCTTTCTTTATTTTATTTTTTTTCTTTTTGGAGATGGGTGGGGTCTTGCTGTGTTGTCCTCAAACTCCTGGGCTCCAGAGATCTTCCTCCTAAACATCTGAGACTGCAGATATGTGCCACCATGCCCTGCTCCTATGGCTATTTTAAATATTATTTCAATGTATTAGGTTTTTAAAAAATTACAGATATAATACATTGAATGAAAGGTCCTGAGTTCAACTCCAATAATTAAATATCCTGAGCTCACCCAACCTCATCATTTTCATCTTAATTTTGGAGTTTTTTTTTTTCTAAATCAGTTCTACAATATCTGAATCTGTATTCTGATGCTCTAGGGAATGTTAGAAAGTTGATACATCTTCAATCCTTGACTCACAGTTAGGAAAAGAGGATGATCTCACAAGCATGAGGCCTTCCCCCTTTTGGAACCACAAGGAGGAGTCAGCTTGTGGCCTGGACCTCTGCTGGAAGCCACCCAAGGAAGTCACAGGCAAAGACAGTTAAAGGCATGTCACAGAAGGGCTGTCACCAAGTCCCACAAAAGCCAAAGCCCACAGGAAGTGAGACTAATTGCTAAAAAAATAAAGTTAAGACCAGAAAAAGAAGGACAGAGTAAGCAGGCAGGCAGGAAGGAAAAAATTCACAGAGCAAGGGGGAACGAGGGAAAGGCTGAGAAATTCAGAAGCATGAAGAAAAGTGGAGAATGCATTAAGCTTGCCTATCTACCAAATCAAGTGACAGGAAAAAAAACCCTATCCACTCAAGTATAGCCACTGAAAGAGAAAGATATTAAAATGTAAAATCTAGATATAATCCACATGTCCATCTGGTTGAGACCAAATTTAAGGAAAAAGTCTAGGAATGCAGGCTGAGGCTATAGCTCCACGTTAGAGTGCAGGTCTAAGGTGTGAATGAGGGGGGCTTTGAGTCCAATCCCTAGTGAGGCAGAAAGGGAAAAAAAAAGGGGAAGCCCTGTGGGTAGAGTTGGGCAATACTCACATATGCCAGCAGGGGGCTCCATAACACCATTTAAACAATGTCATGTTTTCTTTGGAGGTTTCATTTTCCTTTGCCTTTTCTCTGGGGTAATCTTATCTAATACAGCATGCTTAATATTTTCAATATGTTTTTACTGGCAGATTTCATTATGAATATGAAACTATCAGGAAGTCAAATGAACCGTGAGCTTTGGTTTAGCAGCACACAATTCAAACATCTCTGCCTTAGTGGAGCCCTGTGTGAGATCAGGACAATGCACATATCTGGGTTTTAACTTCCTGGCCTTACTTTTCATTTTAAATTCTTGTGCATCTTAAAAGCACGACAAGCACACTTGGGTGTTTGCTCTATGAAGGTTCAGCAATTGAAATGAAAAAGAAAAACATTTCAACTGTAGTTTTTAAAACAAACACTTTGAATAAGCATAAACTTATTGGAAATCATGACTACACTACTACTGTTGGTTTTCTAAGTGTATTGAATACCATGGAATATGTGGGATTTTAAAGCAAACTCTTTAGGCTCATAATAAATCTGCCAGTTTCTTTTGTAAGTTGACAGAATAATTTTACTGGAAGCATTAAGATGGTTCTAATTATATGTGTGTGTGTGTGTGTGTGTGTGTGTGTGTGTGTGTGTATTAGTTGTAGTTGGACACAACACCTTTTATTTATTTATTTATTTATCTATCTGTTTGTTTATTTATTTATTTTTATGTAGTGCTGAGGACTGAACCCTGCACATGCTAGGTGAGCGCTCTACTGCTGAGCCACAACCCCAGCCCCTCTAATTATATTCTTTATGGCACTTCTCCCCCCGCCACACACCCTTCTTTCAAGTACTTAAATAAGTAATACAGCCGGTGACCAGTCTGGGTCAAAGACTTCAGGACATTGATCTGTGTAATAATTATTCTGTTTTTGGTTAATTCTATATCATTAAATTTAACTTGAGATTACAAGACAATGTTAAAAAGTAGTCCCACGTTGGGCCCATATGATGGCACACACCTGTAATCAGTGGCTTAGGAGGCTAAAGCAGGAGGATCACAAGTTTAAGCCAGCCTCAGCAACTTAGCAAGGCCTCAACAACTTAGTGAAACTCTGTCTCAAAATAAAAAATAAAAAGGACTGAAGATATGGCTCAGTGGTTAAGTGCCCCTGGGTTCAATCCCTGGTACTCACCCTGCAAAAAGCCCCATATTTGCACCTGCTTTTTACACTAAATCAAATAGCCACCCTGACTATTTAAACATAAATAAGAAAAAAAAATAAGCAATCAATGGGGGGAAAATGAGTTCTTCTTAACTGTTTAATTATTATATGTCAAACTGATAATATTTAAAACATGAAAAAGAAGATCAGTTCATATATGTAATTTATTTAGTAGAAGAGATAAATTTCTAAGCATGGACCTGGAGGAAATGATGAGTGTCCTTATGAAGAGTATCAAATCCATTCACTAGTTTTTCTCTACCTTTCCTTCACTCTGCACTATCTTCATCCCTGGGTTGAGATTAAATTGCTGTCTCTTATGAACATATAAAATTCTTTCTCTGGATCTCTTTCATGGCATTCAACACTTTCTGCATAATGGAATAAATGTATTTCTCTCCATTTTTACAACATAAGAGCATATGTTTGTTTCCAATTTGTACCCTTCAACCAGACCCCCAAGATAGTGAGTTGAGCAGCAATGTTTGTTAAACAAATAAATGAAACAAGTGTTTCAAAATCCCCCTCATTCCAAGATCAGCCTATTTGAAGACCATCTTTGCCAGAAATTATCTTGTTCTGATAATCAGTCACCTGAATTTTCCTCTTTTGAAAAATATCCTAACCTCAAGTTTCCAGGTCTAAATCCTAATGCACTCTAAAAGTTCTGTGAGAGCTTTCTGGAGCTATCCATCATGAGCATCATGCCTAGCATATAGTAGGCACTCAATGATATTTAAGGATGTACATAAGAAACCATTTCTTTAATTGTTGTGAGAATATCTTTCAGTTAAGCAAAGAAAAAAGGCTCACTGCTCTAAAGCTTGTACGTTCATCATTTAATTATTGCATGAAATGTACTTTTTGTACAAAAATTATTAGTCCATGTTTTTAACCCTTTTTACCTAAACCTAACAAGAGGAGACTTCTTCTTCACAGAAGTTAAGAACCTGGACTAGAGGAATGTCTAAGGTATACAAGTTCAAGGGTAGCAATATATCAACTTTGACAAAATGTCATGAGCTTTAGATTTAGGCTACTATGGGTTAGAAATCCGACCAGCTCACTCATTCATTTCCTTCTTGTACTCAAAGTGAATTAGACACATTCTTTGCCCTTGAAATGCTCAAATGTCCTCTTCATGGTTTTGGCCATTTCAAACTTATTTGTATCAAACATCACAGAAAAACCAGTTTAAAAAAATCAGAGGTTTTTTGTTTTGTTTTGTTTTTAAAGAGAGATTAGATTCACCACTACACCAAGTAAATTAGCATCTTTGAGTCTGGGGCCAAAGCAATTCTTCTATGAAGGCAAAGTTGAGAACTGTGGGAAAACTTTGCATCCTCTTTCCTCATTTCTGGAATGGAGAGAATAATATCTTAGTGCAAGATGATCATAAAAAAATATGGAGAATGTCTGTTAACTGGCCCACAAGGGAATTGTCTGCTCATTCATTCCCAGGTGATCACTTAAAAGATCAATTTTATATGAGTATAAATCAGTACCCATCAATTTGTTTTACATGAAAAAGCAAGAGTATTTCAAAAGAAGTTTAAAACTTTACAAAGTGAAGGAGGGGAAAAAAAAGATGGAGTCCTAAGAGGGCATAAGAGCAAGAAGTATGTTTTCAGGTTAAGGACAAATTGAGATACAGTTGCCCATCTAGAGCCAGAGGTGGGTAGACCTACTTTCTTCATTATCCCTTAGGAGGCAGAATTTTGGGGGTGATGGGACTTCAAACTCCAGTCATCTTCATTTTAAAAAATTCTCTACGAAGAATATATGAAGAGAAAATGGTGAATTTAAAATGAAATCCATTTGGAGTGAAATATTGGCAAGAATTTAAATAAAGGAGGAATTTTTATATAAAGCAAGGCAGTGAACAGGTATAGAAACTCCAAGTTTGCCAAAATTAATAACTAAAGGTTATATTATGTTAGGATGAGTTGGCAATAAGATGCCACTTATTGACAATGGCTAAGATGGCTTACTACAGGGAGACTATGAGGACACAAATGACGTGGTAATCAGCTCTGAAATGCCAAGAGAAGGCTGCTGAATAGAATATTCTACTTTAGAGGAAGCATCAAGAACAATGTAAAAACTATTCCTCCTGCAGCAGTAGCTCATCTACTGGTGTCACAGTGCAGCTTCTTTAATTTGAAACACATTCGAATCACAAGGCCAAGAGGAGCGAAAAGAGAACGAAGATGTACATGAAAGATCAGATCTGGAAACCTGCAGAAGTAATTCTGCACAAAGAATCTTTCACATCTCTTGCCTGGGTTGACCAATTACGAATAAAGATGGCAACCCCCAAACATCTGACATAATTGACGGAGTCAGATGAACGCTGAACACGATCGTTTCATTATTATTGTGGTACAGTATGACAGGAACACACAAATCCCTGGAATTTGCACTCAGAGTAAAAATACCAAATAATGAATGCAAGGTTATTTTGATGGTTGTGAGACAAGATTTTCACAATGACTATTTGCTATGGAAATCTCAAAACTTTTAATAAAAAGAAGACAGTTTGGCTTGGTACCTCAATAAACATCTGCAGAATGAATGGAGACTTGCCTAGAGGAGGCTTTCAAGAATCAGGGGCTCTGAGCTGGGAGCCGTAGCTCACACCTGCGATCCCAGCAGCTTAAAAGGCTGAGGCAGGAGGCAAGTTCAAAGTCAGCCTCAGTAAAAAAAGCGAGGGACTAAGCAACTCAATGAGACCCCGTCTCTAAATAAAATACAAAATAGGGCTGGGGATGTGGCTCAGTGGTAGAGTGCCCCCGAGTTCAGTTCCTGGTAGCCCCCTGCCAAAGAAAAAGAATTAGGGGCTCTGGGTGTGGCCACACTGGCACCTCTACCTAACAGTGTGGGTCATACAATTCATCTGGCCTCTCTGATTTTAGGTATTTCATCTGTGAGGACAGAAGTTCTACTGCTACGTAAATTTTTAATTATTTCTCAGCTTTAAAAAATAAAGTCTTTTGGTTTCAGATACCATTCCTAAGGAAATACCAAATCACACATCAATCTTACATACTAGAACTTTATTTCTTTGAAACAACATCATACCCATAAATAGCCATGCTTTCTGAAAAACAAAAATGCCTCCCTTCTGTTTTTTTTTTTATTATTATTTTTAAGTAAAGGAAAGCTTATCTAGAAAGTTTCCATTCAGTAATCATCAACTTCCAGAATTTAAATCAGGATGGACTTTTTATTTCATGATTTTTAAAATTACACTTATTTTCAGTTAACAATCTTTGACATCTATGAAATGTTAATATTCCTTTTATAACTAAACTGCCAGAGTGTACACTCTCCTTCTACATAAGGAAGTTGTAAAAGCATTTTTGAATCTTAACCAGAAATCACAGTAAGTGTTTTAAATACATATTTTCCATGTGTTACATATAACATACTTAGATTAAAAAAATATGTACTATCAGAATATATATCCCCCATTGGGTTTGCAGAGTGATCATATCTCACATCTCACTGGCTTCGCTAGAAATCATGCTATTTCACTTAACATTCCTTCTATCACTTTGTATTTTGAAATGAAACACATAAGATCTGAACTAATATTAGACTAGAATGGAGATTCAGACCGATGTGGTCTGTAGATCTAAATGCTTATATGTGTTTTATTTGTCTCTCCTAGATGATTTAATGGCACAAAATTAAGATAGTCACATTATTCCTGATGGCCTCAGTATTCTATCAATACACATGATTCCCAGATCAACTTCCTATTCTTGAATATAATTCAAATGAAATACTCAAGAAGGCAAGTGATTTCTGTTCATTTTTAGAAATTTCTCAACATTAACATTGTTGCCCAGTGCAACGCTCTAGGATTAGCCATGGTGCATTTTTATTACCTTAAAAACACATGTGGTAAGCATAGATATAAAAGGTCAAATTCTAAGCATTAGGTGCAGGAGTGAGCAGAGATAACACAAATGTGCAAACCCCAAATCTTTGCAAACAAACCCCAAACCCCAAGCAGAATAGGTGGAGAAGAAAGTACTTTAAAATCCTCCCCAAATTCAGGATACATTAAGATAATTAAACTGCAGTTGGACCAACTGCTGGAAAACAATTCACAATTCGCATGCACTTTTCTGGACCTCACCTCCCTGGCTGGCTTGGAATTCCTTGCATCAAGCATGCAGGTGAATGCAACCCTCTCTCCAGCCTCCCATAAAGGGAGGTTCACTACATTCACTGACTTATTCACGAGAACATTGAAGAAGAGGTACAAAGCCACCTACCATTGTCACTGTCTCCTTCAGAAGGAACACTGTAGCTAGAGTTGTCCCATGTTTGTGCCTGTGTAAGTTTGTTGAAGGAGATAGGAGGGAGAATGAGGGCTGGGTCTGCAGGAGGGCGAGAGCCAGGCCGCGTGTAGTTGCACAAGGACCAGGCAAAACCAAAAGGGCCGCAGCGTTTCACGAATGGCATAAGGTTTCGTATGGAAATGAAGTGGATTTCATTTACATGGGATTTATTTGCAAATGTACAATATAGGAGGAGAATGAAAGATGGCGCATGGAATAAAAAGAATGATAAAAACTGAGTGTTAGTACTCATCGGTCATACATTTTGCATGCAGTTAATATTGCTAATTTAACAGTTCCGCAAGCCCGCAGACTTAGAGTACTAATGGGTTGTTTCAGGAGAAAGGAAGAGCACCAGGAGGTTATGCAGATTAATAAGCAAATGCCCTACTAGATACCTTTCTCAAGGCTCTCTAAACAACTAACAATCACAATCGTAGCAAACTGATTACATGATTCACACACAAAAATTTGGCCAAATGGGACAAAACTTAATATAAAAAAAACTATCAGAAATAAAATTATTATAGAATCACTATTTACTATGAGTGGAATTTGTTCCCAAGGCAATGTAGAATTTCCTTCTAAGACATCTGTGAGTTTACTAGAAGACTTTGCTGAAAGCTGAATCTACCCATTTCTTCCTCTTGATGTACCTCTCAATACAGTTTTCAATATTGGCCAGTAAAAAATAACAACAACAAACAAATTTTGGATACCAATAGAGTCTATTTAACAATACACTAACAAACAGATGCCAATTATTGTTTCAAGAACTTCTGAGTTGGTCATTTATGAAATGATGACACGTCATCATATTATGATATAACAATGATGTTTTTGCAATAAATATCCATACAGTAATGGATTTACTTATTTAGGATGTATTTATTTAGGATATTTATATTTAGGAAGTATCCATATAATTTTTATTCAATCATAAAGCAGGGCTAGTAAAATTAATGGGCATAGTTCTAGGAATAAATTTTGGGGTATGTGCACTATCTTCCTTTGAGAGGAAAACAGAAGAGAAAAAAATGTTTCTTTTGAAGAAAAATCAATTTATTTTAACAGTCATTATTCTTATTCCAACTTCTTCACTTGAGCAGTTTGTTTTTATTTATACCACAGAAATCACACAAATCCACATAATGAATTACAAAATAAAAAGCTTTCAAAAGTCACTCAATCGAAAACAGTTCCTATCTCTTGCAATCATATGATCTCCAATTATTACTACTTCAATTATTGTTACTGCATACAGTATGAAAAATGCATACTGTAACGTTTAAAAATTACTATATAAAATTTTAAAATCTCAATACATACTGCCAGTTTTATAAAGTTCCAATATGTCACTTGATGTCCCTGAAGGTAAATCAACAATTATTTACAGCAACCAAACTCCACAAAGCTTTCAACAACTAGAACAATTTCCACACTGGCTCGTCAAGCTTTCCAAGGCTGGAAGCTTGGAGAGGAAATGATCTTTCTTTTCTGCTATTCAAAATAAATACTTCATTTATTTTTCACCACTGCAAGGAATCTGAAATGCTTTACAATACAATCATGATGTAACCCGTAACTACAGTAAGTTAGGTAGGACTCTGCAGGAGGAATAAAAAAAAGTCACTGAAACAAGTTTACAGCTACATTGCAAGACGACACAATCAACAGAATATGGCTCTTTGGACATCTATGCAGGTTTTGGTTTGCCTGATTATGAAATAAGTTAAAATTGTGTAAACTGAGTCCACAATCCAATATGAGGTCCTCAGTGTGTGGAGACAGATCTCCTAATGATCTTTACACAGGGGAGGTGTGCCCAGACTCACCCCCACACCTCCCAGGACCCACCTGAGAACATGGAAGTGGAAGCACAGTCTATATCTAGTCACCTATGCTTAGTTCTACACGTGATGGGGGTGGCCATTGGACTCCTCACAAAACACCCATGAGGGTCGGGTGTAGCTCAGTGGTACAAAGATGGCCTAGCATGGACAAGGGTCTGGGTTCCATCACCAGCACCACAACAAAAACAAAAATCATCAAATACCCACTGACTCTTGCCACATTCGAGCATTTTCCTAAATGGGCTTTTTTTTTTTTTTCTTAAAGCCCTTTTGAATTGCCAGGAAATCATTGCACCTGGCCAGATGTTGCCCATCAATCAACTTGCTCCAAGAACAAAAACATTTCCTTTATTAATGAATCATCTTTGTTTGTTCTTTTTCAAGCTAGACAGATGCATAACCTCTACTGTTGGAAAAGGCTTTAGTGGGAAATGCAAGAACACAAGAGTTCTTTACCAGCTTTTGCTTAAAAATATCCCAGTCCTTTACTAGCACTTGCTTAAAAGCATTAGTAATGAGTATTCTAAATATAAAAAGAATCAAAAATCAATCAATCAAACAAACAAAGAAGGGCTTTAAAAAAGGAAGATAGCAGCACCATAGCTTGAAATGAATTTTTTAAAAAATCAGAAAAAAATGTATTTTTCTGTTTAGAAACCTTCTTTTTAAAAATCAATAGTTATTTGGCATGCTGTATAATTTGCTTTTGTGAACATACAAATAACAAATTAAAATAAAATCGGTCAAAGAGCCGAATGCTTTCCAAAAGATTTTTTTTTTTTTCCCTGACTCCTGATCACTCAGGCAAGCCTGTCACATGAGTAAATATATAAACCTTCCCAGGCTCAGAAAGCAACAAAGGGCATCTCAGAAAGGAGTTTCTCAACCAGAGGCTGCTCTGGAACTCAACAGAGCACCAGGAACCCCTGGCTTTTATTTTGTCTTCCTTGGGCAAAAAAAGTTCAACAGAAATTTCTTCCTTGCTTCAGTGTTGCCACCACTACCCCTAGCAGGAGCTTAATAGCTGATTTATTAAAAACCTTCCCAAAGTGAAGCAAGGTTCTGATGCCACAATCCCCACTCCCCAGAATGGATGACATTCACATTATAATCACGTAAATTTTAAAAGGCTAGAGGGAAACCACAGAGTTATTTAGTCTAAGAAGGGACTGAGGTTTTAATTTACCTGATCGAGGCTTCAGGCCAAATGGAGCTGTGCTGTTTGTGGTAGGAGAGCCAGAGGCAGAGTCCTCTCTCATCTGTGGGGTCAGAAGGAAAGAAAATGAGGGGAAAAAATTGAAGTAGAACTATGGCTGGCTTTTCTATGATCAAGGATTATTACAAAACCACCTCCTGTCTGCATTTGCTACTGGGATATCAAGTATTAGCTGAAAAATCAAATGATTTAAGTGACATTATCAATAGAATGTTGCTACATGGCCCATTGGTTTTTTTTATTTGTTCGTTATAAATATATTTTATAATCAGGTGAAACTGTCAATGCATTTTCTCCTCCATCACAGTTGTGGGTGTGCATGCATGAGTATACTCCTACACCCCAAGGAGGGCACAGCTAAGGAAGACTCTCCTGGCACAATGAGATAGAAAAACCGATAACAGGAAGCAGATCAAGGCACCATGCGCTGAATCACCACGGGAGGACCAGACTTTCTAAATGATGCCTATTTGAGCGATTTTCATTGTTTTCTACAAAGATGTTCCCATATTTGGTTTTCAAAGTATCTCATAAAAATTAATCTTGAATTATGAAGAGGCCCAAATAAGGCAATCATTGCTACTGAGAATGAGTGAGAGCTAATGAGTGTCCCCCAGAAACTCTTGAGTTAAATCAGTAACCGCAGTGTCCGATCATATATTTCTGAAACAGGTATTCCAATGCAGTCTTCATGGAACACCTCGGCTTCCACTGATCTGCAGAAAACTTACCTCATTTGGAGAATACTGGCTCCCATTACTCTGTAATGTTAGATCATGTTGCACCTTAAGGAAGAGGGGGAAAAAATGCATAGTATGTTCCATTAGACTGTAAAACTGACAAGGCAAGAACTGTGCCTTATTTTCATCCTATTCCTGGCACAGAAGCACACAATAAAAATGCAGTGAACTAACTGGTATATTAAAGAACTAAGGAGGTCATACTTACATTTTCTAAAACTATGCATCTGTATTCATAGCTGTGATACATGTGAAGTATCCGTAATTTAAGATAAGGCTTTTCCAGCATAAAGAGCTCCTTCCCAAGTGTCTGTGGACATTGGCTTCCCTTGATAGGTTGGTTATCCACCTGTCCAGGTAATCACCCCCATTTTAACTGTGAGTTTTTAGAAATGGTTGGTCCAAGGCAATAGTTCAAAAATATGTAAAATCACATTGGGAGCTTTTAATAATTACGCATGCCTGGACCCCAAATTACCTGGGCAAAACTCTTGTAGGAAGCTCAATATCAGTTTGTCTTGGCAACCACTGGTGCAGTGTATGGGATTTACAATTGGCTGTGGTTTCCATCACTGAGAATGCAGGAGCAGTTTGAGAAAGTTATTCTATGTAGCCATTAGAGAATGGCATGCTTATAGCAGGGAGGTGAAAGCTGAATGCTGGAAGAAGGGTGAGGGACTTGGGGCATTATTATTTATGGGATGCTTAAGGGTGGCCAGATGCTCCACAGGTAGACAGCATGGAAGGAAAGAAACAGTAGCTAAGGATGGAATCCTAGAAAGGGACACATAGAGACCAGGATGCCACAAAGGGGACACTCTAGCTTATTATTTTCCCAGATCTGCCTTCTTTATATGATGATCCAGACCCCACTGATACACCCTAATAAAAAAATTTGGTGCTAACATAAACATCTTTATATATGACAACAAATTAAATTTAAGATGCCCATCCCTAATCATGTTGAAGAGTACTATTTAAAAATATTCCCAACTTTTGACATAAATACAAGGAAAAATATTTTTAGAATAAAAGGTCAATAATGTACTTATCCAACCGATAAGCTTTCTTTGAACTGCTAATAAGTGATTTTAAATTTGATCATTTTATCTTCCTATAAGCACCTCCTTCCTTTAATTGTTCCTGTTGTCCCTCTCAGTACCTACCCCATTCAATATGATTTATGCATGAACAGGCGATTGACATTTCTTCCTGAATGGAGGACAGTGCTACCCAAACTTGATGTAGATCTTCTAAATATGTTCAAGGTCAGATAATGAGTCAGGTCACCAAATGCAAAGTACTCTATAATCTTGGCCTCCCTGTTCCATTCAATTCACCCTTGGCACTGTATTCAACACAGCCCTACTGACTGACATAAAGCACAGTCTCCTGGCTACAGGTGCAGTTTCAAAACAGTCCAAAAGGTGCAGTTTACTTCCCTGGCCTTAATCTCCTGGTCCCTTCCCCAGTCTCACAGAGCATTAAAAAAACACTCTCAGGATGGCAGACTATCTCACGTTCTACTTTGAATTTTTTCAATATCTAAATCTTCTCCCTTTGCAATTTTTAAAACTCTTCAAAACTGAGGGCAACCTCCTGTCTTCCACATTCCAGTCTCCTCCCCCAAAACAAGCTGACCCCAGCTGGGTACTCAACAAATGTTGTTGAATCAATGCAATCTATCTGCAGGATGCTGCTTTCTTCCTGAATGAGAAGGAAGAGAGGTGTAAAAACCACCAAATCACACATGAGGGCCACATTTAAGTTCTGCATGACCGTCACCACCCTTGAGAATTCACCACTTTCTTTTCTTTTCCTTCTTCTCATGATGTCCTTTTTCTACCAGAGCCAGCTATCCCCCACTTCTTTTTTTAAACTTATGGGGGTATGTTTGTCAAGGACAGAGAGTTGCCCCAGGAAGACAGGGAATAAAATTATGTTACACCAAATATAACTCCTCGATTCAACCAAAGAAGAAAAACATATTAAAATACCACAAAACATTATAGTTTGAATAGAGATGAAGTACATCTATCTTTTTTCCTAAAACTTTTGTGTCTTTCTGGTACCTCTAAAATCCTGGACACAGGTATGTTCCTTTTTAAAAAAAAAAAAATCTTTAGGACTGAAAGTTGAAGAACATTTTAGGGAGCAGGCCCAAATAATTGCCAAGGTAGGTTGGACATGGCTCGTTCTGTGTGTTCAGAATGCTAACACAATCTGTCTGGCCAGAGCAGGAAAATTCACTCTGGAGAAAAGTTCAGTGACTTGCTTAAAGACCCTCAGGGTCCTGGCATGGGCCTTGTGTAGGGCTGCAGCTAGAGGTTCCCTGATTTAATAGCTGATAGAAGAAACAACTGGTTATTAAAGGGCGCTGGGGTGACTGCACTGCTTGAATGATTGACACATGACTTGGAAGTCAAATTTCCCTCCTGAAGGGGACATGGCTTTTCTACATAATGTAATGAGGGCAAACATGGGTAAACTTAAAGAAAACCCATGAAGCTTTAAAAGCCTGCAGAAAAGTGTCAGATCAGCTTCAATGTACACAAGCACAAAGATGTGTCATCAGAGTAACACAATATTTAGTATTCCTTAAATGATGGGGTGTTTCAGCTACTGCATCCAGGGTCTCTACATCAAATGAGCAGGATGTTGAAGTTCTGCAGACCAAAGCCACTTCTTTGTTGGAGGGGAGAGGGTTACTGGGGATTGAACTCAGGGGCACTCAACCACTGAGCTACATCCCCAGCCCTATTTTGTATTTTATTTAGGGATAGGGTCTCACTGAGTTGCTTAGGGCCTTGCTTTTGCTGAGGCTGGCTTTGAACTCCATCTTCTTGTCTCAGCCTCCTGAACAGCTGGGATTACAGGCATGCACCATGGTGCCCAGGCTCCAAAGCCACTTCTTACTATTTCCCCTCTCTCTCCCTTCCTGTTTCCCTCCCTTCTACAAACCCTCACTGAACACTCACTATTTACTAGGTACTGTGCTAGGTCCCCCTTCAAGTGAAAATGCTAAGTGCTTGTGCCATGCTACAGAGAAAGACACAAGAGGAAACAAAGACAGGAACAATATATGCAGTAAAATTCCACTTCAAAAATCTAAACCTGACTGCAAAGATCTAGTTCATCTTTGCTGATGAGACAGTAAGAGGAAGCTGAAACTATCTTGGACTTAAATGAAGTGAATGGGGCATTTAAAACATTTCTTTCTAAACCATCCAAATGCTTAATATCAATAGCAATTCTTAATTATTACTGTAATTGGCTGTTTTTTTGAGGTTCAGGGCAGCATTCAATATATTACCTAAGATATTCAACAGTTTATTATAAAATATGCTATGTGTTAATGATTCTGCCCAATTTCAAGCTAATGTAAGTTTTCTGAGCATGTCTACAGTAGGTTAGGTATATTAAATGCATTTTTGACTTGCAATAATTTCAACTTCACTGTATTTATTAGTTATTTCAACTTCATGCATTTATTGGGTATAACCCCACTGTAAGTTGAGAAGCATCTATAATGATAATAGATACAAAGAACATGGTCCAGCATCTAGCAAGACCTCTTCTGTTTTTAGTCAGGAATATACACATTTTAATCAAAGACAAAATTATTGGAATCACCAGCCAATTCTCCATCAGAGATGAAAGAGAGTTACCTTCTAACTAGAAGCTTTGGGTCTTCCTGACACTCCTGAAATCATGCCCACAAGTGACCACCTATTTTACTAGTGTCAAAAGTGTGTCTGTAGCAGGATACTAAGATGGTCTTTAAACACCTCTCTCCACAGACTAGTTATTAGTTGCAAGAGAAAAATGAAACCGTAATTATACAGTGAAGAAATGGAGTTGTACCTCAATTGGATGATCAAATTAACATTACCCATGAGGGACAGATGGACATTGTGTGCCCCTAACAAACTCTGAGAAGGACAAACATTATCACCTGGGCAGCATCCTAAATAAGAACACAGAACTTCAAACCAATCACGAGGAAATGTAAGATAAATACCAAATGAAGGACATTCCATTAAAAAGGGGAAATTTGAGTTCTTAAAATTTTGAAGGTCATAAAAAATTAAAGAAATGTTACAAAAACATTGCATACAGGAAAAAAATATATATATATCTGAAAACTAAATGCAATACCTGCTACTAGACTAGATCCTATACTGGACAGGGAAAGAAATGATCTGAAAGCATCTTAGAACAGTTGATAAAACTGCATGTGCAGATAGCAGATGGGATAAAAATAGGTTATTCATGTAAATTTATGAAGTTGATAACTGGCATGTGTTACCTAAGATAAAATCCATATTCTTAGAAGATATACACCAAGATGTTTAGGAATAAAGGACAATGATGTATAAAACTTACCAAAAAAAACCAATGTGTGTGTGCAGGTGGTAGGGAGAAAGAAAGAGAGGAAATTAATAATATATAGGAATATAATATAGGATATAATGTAGGAATAGAATATATATATATATAAAATATAGGAAATGTGGCAAAATGTTAACATAGGTTGAGAATCATTTATCCAAAATTATTGAGACCAGAAGTGTTTTGGATTTTAGAATAACTGCAGATACATAATTAGGTATCTTGAGATGGGACCCCAGTCGAAACACAAAACTCATTTATGTTTCTCTACAGTTAGCCTGAGGTAATTTAATACAATATTTTTAGTGTATCTGTATTTTGACTGCAACTCATTGCATGAGGTCAGAGGTGGCATTTCCCCCTTGCAGCATTATGTTGGTGCTCAAAATTTACAGATGTTAGAGTGTCTGGATTTTGGATTTTCAGATTAGGGATGTTCAACCTGTAATCAGTAAATCTAGGTACAAGATTGTAATTTTTTTTTTTGCAACATTTTGTAGAACCTTGTAATTTATTTATTTATTCATTATTTTATTATTTATCTATGCACTCTTTTGTAAGGTTAAAATCATATCCAAATAAGAAACCTTAAAAAAAAAAAAACCATGATTGTGCAGAGAACCAAATCAATCTCCAATGGAAACCTGAGGCCACGAATCCAGGACAGCCTGCTAATGAAAGGCTTCCTGATGCTCCGCGACTGGAGTAGTTCAATGCTGCCTCCACCGGGAGCAGCAGTGGTACCCAGCTCCCTCTAGAGACCACAGCAATAACAGTAACAGAGCAGGAGGTGAACAGCCAGCACTTAGGCGCCCTGTATGGTGAGGCCGTTCTGAATCGTCTTATTTAAGCTTCACAATAGCTATTATTATGATCCCAATTTACTGAAAATGAAGGTTAAGTTTAGAGAGGTTAATTAGCTAGCCTAGAGTTAGCAAGTCTTCGGGACACGGTTATAGCTCACATCATTCCAAGTCACTGCACTTAACAATGAAACCATACTCTCTGGGAATAGTTCTCATACTCCCTTGCACAGTTCTTTTTTCCATATTTCTTGCACACAGGAGCTTTTAATAGTTAAAGGGTATGAAGCTTTACTGGTAATACACGTGTAAACACCACAGGGGGAATAGATTGGTTTGTATATAATCTTGGTACCTAAACTAGCCACCCTAAGCCCATTCACAAAGAAGGGATAAAACAGATTTAAACAGGCCATAACTCCCAAATCATCATGCAAACCTCTCTCTCTGTAACTAGGGTAACAATCTTTCTTTGGGACCTTTTAGGCTCATCTCCAGTTTTATGTCAAAACTGCTTTCTCTATAGCCACTCAAACCCCTGAAACTCTACCTAATCTACCCTCACCCTGCTCCTAAACACCCCCGCCAGTTTATAATATTCTCTTTTAGATTTTTGTTTTCCTTTTTCTTTTTCTTTCTTTCAGCACTGGGAATTGAGCTCAGCAGAATTTTATTATTAAGCTACATTCCCAGCCCCTTTTTATTTTTTATCTTGAGACAGGGTCTCTCTAAGTTGCCAAGGCTGACCTCAAATTTGTGGTCCTCCTGCTTCAACCTCCTGAGTTGGTAGGATTACAGGTGTGTGCCACCACACCCAGCTTGTAATAATCTCTTATCCTCCTAACACGCAGAAATTCAATTGCTCTTGCTTTTCAGGTCTTTTCTAGCCAGACTTCTTCCTAGGGTCCAAAATCTATACTGCACGGACCTAGTTCGAGTTTCTAACAAAAAGAGCAGGTTTCCCATGCATCACAGAGGTTGACACCTGACTCAGTGCAACTTTTTATAAAAAAATTTAAAGAATCTATGAGAAATAGCCATCTCTCATCTTTAATGGAAGGTGAGGTATAACAGAGAAGCAGAATTAAGAGAAGGAAAGTATACAAACACTGAAAAATGTGTCTTGAACAAACATGGATATTGGTCTCACTCATAAAAATGTCTCCCCGGACAGATCTTTACAGAATGTGGCAGAATATTCTGGAAAGAGCACTACTCAGTGCTGTGGTCTTACCTCACACACTGGGGATGTCTCCAGCTGCATTTGACCACTGTGGGCACAAGGAAAGAAAAAGGAAGACATAAGGTGGAATTTAAAGCATAAGTACTTCAATGTCAAAAGAGAAATATCTTTAGTTATAAAAAGGCAAACATACTTAAGTGCAGAATCTGGTAGTTCTAAGGCTTCTGCTGATCCCATAGGATATAGATTTAAAACACTTCTCTCAGTAATATCTGCACTTAATCTAAAAAGTAGGGGGGGGGGAAGAAATGTCAGTATATTTACAAAACTTGTTATAAATTCTCTTGGTCATATTTAGTTTAAAACTTTATATAAGGAAAAGCAGTGTTTATCTAAGATTAAGTGAAGAAGGGTTTATGACAAAAATGAAAAACTGTATGGCATTTCCCAACCCACGGGGGGTCAAAATATAATTTTCCATCTGTTATTGGTATTGAAATCCAACTGATTCACAATGTAAGAGAAATTTCCAATAAAAATCCCAATTTTCATAGGTAGCATATACTAAGTTTTATTCTAGAATTTCATTAATTTACAGAAGTTGCTAAGAGTACTACAATTAAACATATGTGCCAACAACATTTGGTTCTGGTGGGAAGATCTTTGTGGTATAAACTTAATCCTCTCAATTATAAAATAAGAATTCAGAACTGTGGGTGAAGCTCAGTCCTACAGCACTTGCTTAGCATGCAGGAGGCCTGGGTTTGACCCCCAGCATCCTCCCGACTCCCAAAAAGGAAAAAGAAATCATCATCAACTTGATACACATTTTTTACTTTTGAAATTGTCTTAGGTATAGTTTTTTTGAATTATACAATTTTAAGAGGTAAATTGCTCTTTTTTTCAAAGAACAATGAAGCCAGGAAATCCATAAGTGATAGAAAAATTATAAAGCCATCTTTGCATATATAATTCAGTAATATAATAATTATAATAATATAACATAATATAATAAATATGCCTATGAAAATGTTACCACACTAACACTGAGAAGGCCTAGAGAAGAAAACGAAATAAAGAAAATCAGGACAGCCATATTCCACTTAAGTTTCTGGACCTAAAAAAACCTGGATCTATGAACTGTGAGATAAAGGAGAAACCCAATATGTATGTAAACACGTTTATTGTTAATATTTTAAAATCTAGAAATAAACATGTCTTGAATTCCGTCTCTTTATCCTACTTTAATATGATTACACTGGCTTACAAAAATACTATTAGAAAATCAGACTTATAGTAGTTATTTCAGAATAAATAACAAAATCTAAAGTAGCCAAAGTAGTGGATTATTTTAGGGAGGAAATGAACTCCACAGGAAATTTTTCAACATTTATGATTTAAACATAGCATTCGACAAAGATGCAAACTACGTATACCCAGGGATATTCCTCCGGGCTCTTCCAGAGTGCAGGCAGCTACACCCACCATCCCATCCACATTGGCACAACTTGTGGCTCCAGACATTTCAGAACTGCGGAAGAGTCGGAGCAACTTGGTTCAACTCACTCCTCATGAGCAGGAGACTAAGGCCCAGAACTCGGAGCCCATTCTTCAGGGCACCCACTCTGGTTCCAGCCCTGCATCCCATGCCACTGCTATGTCACCCATGTGGGCTATTTTGTTTTGCTTTGGGCTTATATATTAATCAATCCAAACTCCTAAAGCAATAAACACTAGAAATGCCTGGAAGAAAAGAGCTGGGTCTTGTTCATCTTTATATCCCCCAAGGTACACACCATAAATCATGTTCTAAACACTCAGTGAGTGTCTGCAGAATGGAAGTACTTTTCAAATCAATTGCTAAAGATTTCCAGTCAAACTCAACCTGACCTGCCATCATTCTTTCAAATGCCAGATGATATTGTTGGGAATATTCTTGAAAGCACTCTGCATTCACTAACTACCTTTATTATAAATTCCCAGAACCCAGAATGCTGTGGTGTGATTCCCAAGTTCACCATATTATAAGACCACACCATTTTCACATAATTCCCAGGACTCCTGGACATTTCACAACAGACAATCTTTGGGTCTATTTCTCTAGTGGTCTTGTAGTTATTATCTGATACCTGATATTGTCTTACTGAAAAATATTTTGTCTATGGGAATTCCATTATCCTTACCTAAGAAACAAACAAAAAAGACCCACTGCATATAGCGTCCACTATCGACAAAGGCCAACTCAAATTCAGAAATCCAAATCTTTAGATTTCTAAAGATTATATTATATATATTATTGTATATATGTTACTTGTATTTTGGCACTATCATAAATAAAAATAGTAATGTTTATTTATTTAATCTTCATTCTAGAAAAAATTTCCTTGTATTTCTGTAAATCAGTGGCTTAAGTTTTATGTTCTTAAAAAAATAATCTTTACACACACACACATGTTCTTTTGCCATATTTCTGTTTTCTAAGTATTGTACCAAAAATCCCATGTGGATTTCATGAGAGGTGAATGAATTCCATTAAGAGCTAAAATAGGGAATTGATCACCAACTCTGCAAAATTCTGACTCTTTCACTTTTGAATCTTGGGAAACTGGTGATTAAAATGACTTTTACTTCATCAGTGGTTATACTGGTACCAAAATGTGTATATGAGTATATTTAAAATTGAAATAAGGTACTCATTAGATTGGTAGGCATTATCTACACAGGAAACCTGGGCTAAAGGAAGACAAGCATACCCATTGGGATCTTGCAGCAAATCTACTGCTTCTCTCAGCTGCTCAATCATTGCTATATCCACGTCCTGATCTTTGGATGAACTTATTCTGTAACATAAAACCAAGTCCGAAGCATGAAAACTTGATCACTAAAACATGAGTAAACTTGAAAGAAAACTTATAAAAATCTAACAGACGGAAATGATTTTGACAGATTCAATATTACAATGAAGACATGTCAGTACCCTGGAGGGCAGGGTGCCAGAGAGCCACTGGGTGGGGAAAGCTCAGTTCAGCTCAGCTTGAAGCCCCTGGTCCCCCACTGCACAATCAGGCAATAGACAAGATGGGTGGGGCTCACAGTGTGCTTCCCTGAGTTCCACGGGGTTTCCTGAGGGTTCCATTGCACTGTCTGTTCTACCTCAAGACTTTGAACACCCGCTAAACCAGCTGGGCTCAATTTTGTTCTTTCATACAGTGTGGGCTTCACATTGCATGGTGTAGGAGAGTGCTTCTCAACCCAGGCTTTATGTGCAGCAAAATCATCTGTGTGGCTTAAAACAACAGGCCAGTCCAGACACTCTCAAGTAGGACTGAACCCAAATTGGGTTGGTCATTTTATAAAGCTCTACAGATGATCCTGATTTGTAAGCAGCATTGTGAACACCAGATGTGAGTTTGAGAACAGAGTTTCTAAAGCTTTATCTAATTTTCCCTGTGAGTCTAAGATTCTATAATCACAAGGTTCAGTGGAAGGCTCAGATCAACAACCCAGATCACGGAAAACAAAATCTTGAGAACCAAAACTCTAATCTATGTCACATGGTCCAAACTCAAATTCCTCAGAAACAGTTCATCTGATAAGATTGCTCATCTGAGGGCTGGGATTGTGGCTCAGGGGTGGAGCACTTGCCTTGCAGGCCTGGGGCACTGGGTTTGATCCTCAGCACCACATAAAAATAAATAAAGGTTGGTGTCCATCTACAAATTAAAAAAAAAAATCACTCACTTCCTCCCTTGTAAATTTTGCTAAATAAATATTTTATCAATAAGAGACTGGAGGGGATATTCATCTGGGGTAAGATTGCTTGGGGTTAATGGTGGACCTCTGTGACCTTGGAAATACAAAAATCAGTTTCTCTGTGCCCCAGTTTTATCATCTTTGAAAAAGATGGGACAAAAGAACTCATCTTCAGGGCTGGGGTTATAGCTCAGAAGTAGAGTGCTGGCCTCACATGTGTGAGGCACTGGGTTTGATCCTCAGCACCACATAAAAATAAATAAAATAAATAAAGATATTGTGTCAGTCTTAAAAAAAATCGTATCTTCATAGGATTACTGGGAAGACCAAATGAATTGTGAACCTGTCAAGTATTTAGGACAGTGCCTGGCATGTAGTGTTTAGTGAACATAAGCTATGATAGTTATTAGATTTGGGATCAGGACATTAAAGATATATGCTCTTCCCAAACCAGAAGACGCTGGTGAAGAAGGAAAACCAGCAGTACAGTTCACCTGAGGTCCAATGGTTAGCTTCTTCAGGTAAAGAAAAGCAACGGGCAATCTCCATTCGAGACATTCTAGCTAATTCTATGAATTACATTTCTACCCAGAGCCTCAAATCAGATAAAATTCAGGGCCAACAAACAGGTCCCACTTTGCACTGTGCTGTGGTTTGAACTTGTCCACCCAAGTTCACCTGTTGGAAATGTAATCTATAAGACAATAGTGTTGAGGCCTCGATGAGGATCAGGTCATGAGGGCTCTACCCTCATAAGTGGGTTTGTGCTCATGCTCTTGCTACATGATATCTTTTGCCACGTTATGATGCTACAGAAGTTCCTCACCAGAAGCAGGCCCCTTCCATCTTGGATTTCTCAGTCTCCAGAACTGTCAATCAAATAAACTTCCATTGTTCATAAATTACTGAGTCTGTGGCATTCTGTTATAGTGGCACAAAACAGTCTAAGACACACTATTGTGCAATACTTGTGACAAACATCAGGAAGAGGGAAATTGGGAATTTCTTAATCAATATCACCCAAAGAAAAGCATGTCAAAATTCTACCAGGACAGGATTGCCATAACTGGGTCTCTGGCACTCACATTCCCTCTGTCTGCCAGTGGGCATCCTCTTCTATCCGTAACAGCTCTTCACAGTCTTCTGCCCTGTCCTGTAGACAGAACATATGGGTTTCTGAGAATCACTGGTTGTTCAGTGAAGAGTTAAAGCCTGCCCCAGCCCATATCTATGGCAGCATTATTCACAACAGTCAAAAGGAAGAAACAAGCCAAGTGCACATCAATGGATGAATGGGTAAACAAAATGTGATGGATACAGGTGAAGGATTATTCATCCTTAAAAACAAGGAAATTCTCGAATTTGTTGTACATGTGGACACTGTGCTAAGTGAAATAAGCCAATCACAGGTGGACAGTGCTGTATGGTCCCACTCATGTGAGGTACCTAAAGAGTCAAATTCCTCCAAACAGAAAGTAAAATAGTGGTTCCAGGGGCCAGGGGAAAAGGGAAGGGGGAGCTGTTCAACAGGTACCAGATTTCAGTTTTCCAAGATGAGGAGAGTCCTGGAGATGGTGAATGTACTTAACACACCCTGAATTATATGGTGACAAAACAGCTAAGATGATAATTTTATGTTACATGTATTTTGTACTAATTAAAAATGAGATAATTAGCCTGTAATCAATCCCAGTAGCTGGGAAGGCTGAGGCAGGAGGATCGAGAGTTCAAAGCCAGCCTCAGCAATAGGCGAGATAGACCCTGTTTTTAAGTAAAAAACAAAATAGGGCTGGGGATGTGGCTCAGTGGCCGAGTGCCCCTGGGTCCAATTCTCGGTAACCCCCTGCTCACCAAAAGAGGATTAAAACAAGAATAAAAACAATAAAGCTGAATCGGGTTCCTTATTGCTCTTTTAGCACCTCCTTGTGTTGACAGATGCCTCCTTGAGTTCCTGAGTCACGTATGAATGTGCATCCATGTGTTTGTGAGAGGAGACAAAGGGTGTGTGTGCAAGCCTGGGATTGTGCCTCTCCCTGTGTATTTTTTTGGGGGGAGAAAAAAGGTAAAAGTACTTAATGACAGAAAAATGCCTCCGAGATATCCAATAGCCCAATAATTTTCATGTGCACATTATCCAGATCTCACTCAAAGAATGTCCTCTCTGCACCGAAGCCCACCCCCTGCAATGTTTCCTGAAGAGACCCCAGGAGAAGCAAATGCTGAGATAACTGACTCTGGGGGCCTCCCTTCTTTGCACTTTTGCCTCTGACACAGAGAAAACACTGCTTTAACCAGGTCAATGCAAGGACAGAAGCTGCCCCAGAGTGGCAAGGAACACAGGCAACTTTTATAAGTTTAGGGTTTACTTCATAATTAGCATTCCCCTCTTGACTTTCCAGGACAAAGGTCTTCCAGGAAACATTTTCCAAATTGACTTCCTCATCCCTTCTCACTGCTAAAATGTCTGGCCACTAGCTCTAGTCCCTAGAGCAGACTTGTCCATGGGGTGATTCGCTTCCTGAAATCTCTGAATCTAGGGAACTTCGTTTTTCTGAAATAGCATGCTTTTCTTTACTAACCAATATCTCCTTTAAAATTTATATTTGTTGGGGCTGACTGTAATCTGAGTGATGGGAGGATTTCAAGTTCAAGTCTAGCCTTATTTACTAAGACCTTGTCTCAAAATAAATAAATAAAAAGGGCTGGGATTGGGATGCAGTCCAAGCACCCCTGGATTCAAACTCCAACACAAAAACAAACAAACAAAAAAACTTTAAGCATCTTTGAAATCTATTTTTCAAAATTTCTGTCTTTAGGGGAAATGAAGGGGAAAAAGCCCTCTAATTATCTGTTTTCCTAATTGAATTGTCCTATAGAGCTGATAGACAGTGGTGAAATCTGGAAGAGTCTTGTGAGAACCACTGGCCTGTCAGTGATGTGATGAGATTTGTATTTCAAGAAAAGGTTTGGTGGCAGAACGTGGGGTGTGTGTGCGTGTGTGTGCGTGCGTGCGTGCGTGCGTGCGTGCGTGCGTGTGTGTGTGTTGCGTGCGTGCGTGCGTGCGTTGCACGCACCCTGCACACAAGGTGGTGCAGACGGGAGGGGGCTCTTACAGCCATTAACTTAAGAAACAATGAGGCTCAACCAAAGCAATGCCCATGGGTCAGTGGAGATGGAAAGCAGAAATGAGTCTCGACAGGTTAATGACAAAGTAGAGACACAGAGTAAAGAGTTAGCTTTCCTGTTTTATCCTTCTGTATGCTTTTGTAATCATCGTTGATGGTCATATTCCACACACATACGGCAGGTCCATTATTTTGGTCTTGATGGCTTGAGCACACAGGTCTCAAGCAGTTCTCCTCCCACTGTCTTCGAGGGTGACACCCAGAAATGCTGGTCTAGGCTAGTCCAGCCCTGCTAACAGGCTCCTCAAGTCTAAGGAGGGTCACCTAGAGATCCCATTCTTGGCTTCAACATAGTAACTCAGAGATCAGCACCTCTCACAAGCCACATTGATTCTATTTCACCAAAACAGGAATCCTCAACCTGAACCCAAAGGATGGGCAGGACACACCAGGGCATCTAATCAGATCATCAAGTAGCTGAGCCTGACTACAAATCAGCACAGGCCTAGTTTTTCTCTCCTCCCTTTTTCTACCAGAATGAGGGCTTCCTGACTCCCTGGGGACTCCACTGCCCTTTCAACACTTCAGGGCAACTACAAAGTTCAGGAACACATGTCCTTGGAGTGACCTACCCACAAAGGAAGAGTCACCTCCAGATTTTAAGTCTCCACTTCTCTCTGGACACTACGGACATAGCAGGTTGTGCATCCTTGATCCAAAAATCTGAAATCCAAAATGCTTGGAAGTCTGAATTTAATCTTTCCCTTTTTTTGGGGGGGGTACTGGGGATTAAACCCAGGGGCACTTTACCACTGAGCTACATCCCCAGCCCTTTTTATTATTTTGAGACAGGGTCTAAGTTGCTTGGAGTCTCACCTGCTACACTGCTCAAGCTGGCTTTAAAACTGTAGTCCTCCCGCCTCAGCCTCCCAAGTCACTGGGATTGCAGGTATGTGCCACCATGCCTGACTGAAGTCTGAAACCTTTTAAAGTTCCAAAATCTGAAAATTTTTGTTAATAAACTTTGGATTTCCGATTTGGGGATTAGGAATTTTCAACTAGTAAAATCTATGCAGATACTTCCAAATCTGAAAACCTCCAATATCTGAAACACTTCTAGTCCCAAGCACTCTAGATAAGGGATACTAGTACCATCTGTATGTCAAGCTAAGTACTCATCTAGAACATACTGAGCAGCATGAAACTGTTTTAGCTTTTGCTGAGCGAGTGATAATGGCAATTCTGGTAAGTTGAGTGATAATGGCAATTCTGGTAAGTTGATTAACTTTCATGATGCAGTGAATAGTGGAAAAACTGAGCAATTTCTGAAAACAAACCAAAACACCACAAAATCCATACGTATAAGCAGGTAACTGCAGAGACATACCTGGCGAAAAGCAGTTCTGAATGTCAAAAAATAGACACACTGAGCTTTGAAAAGATGTGCTGGAGGCTCCAGGCAGGCCACAGCAAGCGGGACTTTGAAGGTGATGGATTGGAAACCCTGAACTTAAGTTCTAAAGTGCCCAACAGAAGAATGTGAGTAAGAAAAATTAATTGATCCTCAAAACCTTACCTTAATATAGTTCATAAATCCCGAATGAAGAACATCTGCCCCATCAGCAAATTGGTGTCTTTGTTTTCCTGAGTTGTTGTTGTCCCCCAAAAGGGAAGGCTCTGGTGGAAATTCCTGATGAAATTCCCCTATTAGGGAAATACAGAGAAAGGAAGAAAGCATGATTTCGTGACGGAAGCATAAAGCACAGCGATCCTCAAATACATCATCTAATTGTTTCCATCTCCTCTCTTAGCTATTATGGAGGTATAGGAATGACCCAGATTTTCTTTTCCCTATAGAATCTGAGGAAAAGATTTTTAAAAAAATGGGAGAGGAAGAAAATTAAAAGAAAGTCTCCAACTGAATTTACAAAGTCAAGACCTCTTTGTGGCTTGGTTCATCATAAGAGAAACAAAATTTCCTCTTAGTCTTTTAAGGAATTGAGAAAACAAATTATAAAATAGGGCTTCTGTGTCCTCTTTTGAGTAATTGTTTCAAATTCCAGGTTCAACAAATATTTAATTAGCAGCTGCTAACTGGAAGGTATTATGCAATACACTTGGGGGCTTAAAAGAATCAGTCAAATATGACTCTGTCCTTAGGAAGCAGATAATCTCAAGGAAGACTGTGGGACAGGACTAGACAAGAGCCCCCAATCCTAGCAAACAGAAATGACTGCATAAAAGCCCCACAGGGGTACAGGCATGTTTAGGTGGGGCACAAGCAAGGAGAACATGTTCCAAGGGATGAAGGAGAAGCAAAAGAAACAGTATGGGGAACTCTTCTGACCAATTTGAAGACTAAAAAGGATTCTCCTTCAAGCACTCACATAGCCAGCAAGCTACCCTCACCCAGAACAGGTTGGAAGAGGGGCTCCCTAATAGCAGATTTCTTAATCCTTTAATTTGAAAATTCTGCCTAAAATACGCTCCTGTTTTGCATAATATCACAGTTTTGCCTTCATTAATACAATGGCAGTTATTAGGCAAGGAAACAGTTCTATTTTTGGACAATGTATGGTTCCGATCATAAGTTTAATGCTAGTCTCATTAAGTGTAATGCTAACCTTAAGTGCTGAACTTAAAAACCTAAATCCAAGTAGTAGAAGCAAACATCAAATTTTGAGTAGCTTTAAACAACTCTCTCATTATTAATGTGAGCATGCTTAAACTATCACAGAGATAATCTATATATTAACCTTGTTCTTTATTATTCCTGCATCATGAAATCCTTTGTGCCACAAATCAGAAAACATCAAACTTTAGTATTTTCCCTAAAAGTCATTGAGAAACAGTCATCACAATAATGTAACTTGATATGAAATTAGTTACAAGGATTTTGAAGTTCTGCAAGCCTCCATGTTTAGTGATCATTTCATGATTATTAAACAACAACAGAGCTGGGCATGGTGATACACACCTATAATCCCAGCAACTTGGGAGGCTGAGGCAAGAGGATCCCAAATTCTAGCCTTAGAAATTTAGTGAGGCCCTGAGCAACTTAGCAAGACCATGTCCCAAAATAAAAAAATAAAAAGGGCTGGGGATGTGGTTTAGCGTTAAAGCACCCTCAGGTTCAATCTCCAGTACCAAAAGAAGAGCAACTTGGGAGCCATGAAGTTCAGCAGTTACCTAATCAAATTACCTCATCTACGGGGGAGATAATTAGAGTCAACAGTCTTGTCCAAAGACAAGAAAGTTCCTGAACTACACTAGCTACCCTCATGTGGCTGTGAACTGAAGTCTAGCTTGTAAGTAAGTAATGGACACTCTCCCACACCCATTACTAGCAACAAACCCCTGCCAGCAAAGCTCCATATTCTTTCCCTTCTGGTTTAAAACAGAGGAACATAGAATCTTAGTCCTGTATTAACAAAAGAGAGTCACAGGACAAAAGAAGAATGAGTCCTTGAATCAATGCTTGGAGTGGAGTTCCCTGTATATCACTAACTCACTAACTCCCATTTGGACTTAATTTGGATTGTGTTAAATCACTGATATTGGGGGATTTTATGTGTGTGATAGCAGCTAGGGTTGTCCTAACTAATATATCTACCATCTCAAAATTTTCTTTCCTAAAATGGATTTAAAGAATCTTTTGTAAATCTTCATAATGTGAATAATTCTACTATTTACTGTAGGAAGTGGTACCGGCAAGTTACTCAAACTCTCTTGACACTTGGCTCCCTCTTGTATAAAATGGAGATGAGTAGAATATCTATCTCAGCACTCTGAATTTTAAAGATCTCCTTTCCAGATGAACACAATGCCTGAATCAGGGGAAATGTGCAATAAACATTAACTATTATCACTGCCACATTTGCGCATGTGTTATTTTAAACATAACCTTTGAAACTTGAAAACAAGCACTCTTCCCTCAGACCTTTATTGGGGCTAAGGCGATGGCACGGGTCCTCCTTGATGATCTGGTCTTCCTCCATGATATTTGACATTGGCACATTAAGGCTAACCGTGTCTTCATCAGAAGGCTGAAAAGATACAGCACACAGTTTCATCCAAGTGAGTTTTACCAAAGGAAAAAAAAAAGAGAACGCTGTATTAAAACAATATCCTGTGCTCCTTGCAAACATTATGTTGAGTAAGAGAAGCCAGACACAAAGGACAATTCTACCTGTGGAAGTTGAAAACCAGAATACTGCTCCATGGCATTTGAACTCAGGATAGTGGGTGTTCTTGGGGTAAGGGTGGGTGCATGAGCCAGGATTTCTGGGGTGCTGGAAAAATGGTTTCTTGCTGTGGAAGCTGGTTATAAGGGTCACTAACACTGATGGTACGCATGCACTTCTCTTATGTATGTTCTGAGCTGAACTCTTGTCAGCTACCTCCCTTTTTCTTAACTAAGAACTCATATTAAGGGTACTAAAAAGGACTATGTAATATCCAAATATTATAGTAATTCATAATTATTCCTAATAATATATAACTTAGGCCTAAGTCCAACCAATCACTTTAATAGTACTTAGACTCTGAGACCTGAACACAAGGCTGATTTACCAAAACTACATGGGAGTTTCATCTGGCTAGCCATAAAAAGCTGGCTGTGGAGATCTGTGACAGTATCTTATTTACTCAGCCTGCCTTTTACGTGTGACATTAAGCTTCAGTTTATCTCCTTGGTTCAGGCAGAGGAAGCTGCGCTATACATAAGAGCTAAACAAAGGCAGTCATTAAAAAGGAACATGTGGGCTGGGGCTGTGGGTCAATACAGAGCGCTCACCTAGCACGTGCAAGGCCCTGGGTTCAATCCTCAGTACCACATAAAAATAAATAAATAAAATAAAGGTATTGTGTCCAACTACAACTAAAAAAGGAAATATTAAAACAAAACAAAACAAAAAAAGAGGGCATGTGTTTGGTGATTTTCAGAACAAAGCTTCAATGTAGTTATTGGAGTTAGTCCTCTCTGAGGGTCTCCTTTCCCACAGCAGTTGATGAGGTTTATTCAGAAAAGCTGTCACAAATGAAATATGGGCCGGATGCTGTGGTACAAGCCTATAATCCCAGCAGTTCAGGAGGCTGAGGCAGGAGGATTGTGAGTTCAAAGACAACCTCAGCAAAAGTGAGGTGCTAAGCAACTCAGTGAGACCTTGTCTCTAAATAAAATACAAATTAGGGCAGGGGATGTGGCTCAGTAGCTGAGTGCTCCTGAGTTCAATTTCTAGTACCCCCAACAAAAACAAAACAACAACACACACACACACACAAAAAAAAATTAAATATGGAGGCTCATTAATTTTCTTGTCGCCATTTCTCTTTTTCTTTTTAGTAAAAAGGTTTCTAAGTCCCAGGGATCAGAAATCTCCCCAGAACACATTTCAGGTGATTATGACCTGCTCCTAAATTCCTGAAGCTAGGACCTTTAGAGTTTGTCCCTATTTACTTTTGGACACATGAGCAGATTATTTGGAAACTGGTGGAAGCGAGAATACACTTCATTCTTCAAACAAATGTTAGAGGATCCCACACGTTCTTGTTTATCTTAAAAAAGTAGATTTTTAATTTCTTCATGAAAAATGCAAAAAAAAAAAACCAGACAATAATAATAGCTAAAGGAAGGGAATGAGAAGTGATTCCTGAGGCCCACAATGAAATCCTAGTGGAGGAGGGGGTAACATAGTTGCCAAAGAAACAATAGAACAATCCATAGGAGAATGAAAAACCCTTCTCAATCCAGCAAATTTCTTAGAGGCATTCTTAGGTAATAAGACTATAGTGTGAGAAAAGAAAACATCAAAGAGAAGTCATACATTTTATTCTGTAGAATATAATCCTTTCTACAGCCTCTTTTCCCTCCACCACCCCCATCTTAAAAATTTACCAAAATTCCAAAGATATGCATTGAATTAAAGGGAAGACAATAAATCCTTAGGTTCCTCTTAGAATGATATTAGCATCCTACTTAAGCTAAGAGTAACAGAGGAATAATGAACATCTTTGAGTAATGTTTTATTAATGAATTTAATTAGCCTTAGAAGGGAGATAGAGGATAAAGCCGAGTCTGTTTTAATTTAATAGAAAATAAGTATAGGGAGAGTAGTTTCTATAACAATGGTCCATTTGAGGGGCCTTATGAGTTTTAATAAAGCCAAAGGGGATAAATTAAAATGCTACTGAGAAAGCTATGTGTTTAGTATGCCACCCCACCAGGGAACCCTGGTCAACTATTAATGTGGCTTTGTGTAGGCCATTTTCTTTTACTAACCCTGGTCTTCTTTTTCTGCTAACTCTTCTTCCTTTCCAAATGTTCTGTATTGGAAAAATGTTGAGGAATCTTACTTTTTTTTTTTTTAACACACTGCTTTACAGAGAGTTTTATGGAAAATAAATCAAAAAACCTTAGCTACCTATTAAACCTCAAAGACCTGAGAACTGGGGAAAGGCTCCTCTGGAGTCACACAGCAGGAATGTGATCTCCTTAGAGAGGTGACTGTCCTATTAGGAACACATTCTTCAAAGAGGATCATGATGGTTCAGGACTCAATTACTATAAAATCTCAGTAACTTCCCTCAAAAAAAGGAAAGAGTATTGATGAGCTCCCCGGACCACATCTATCCCTTCTCATTCTCTCAGTGAAGAAGCTCCATTTAATGGTACATTTAACGTAAGACCTGGGAGGAGGGCTCTAATACAGGATATGAGATAATAAACGTATTAATGAACAGTGATCTGCAATCACTAGAGAAACTTTAGCTTGTGAAACCTCTTAGCTTACAAATTAACCAGACTTTTATTCAACTAAACGGAACACAATTTTGTTTCAGGAAAACAGTTATTGTTGTCAAACACAGCTACTCATAAATGCACTCCCTATCAGTAAACTACTAAAATGCAACGGACACTTGACTTCTTCACATTTATGCATGTACATAACAACGTTTTCCTAAGTTCACTTAAAAATTAGTATACTTTAAAAGTTCTTCATGGATACTTGTATACCATTTAGTCATTTCATAAATATTTATTAAACATTCAAGAATATTCCAGGTAATATCTGAGAGTGGCTAATATCTGGATAACCCTTAGAGAATTTCAAATTGTTTTCACAGAACATGATCACATAGTCTCATGCAGATTCGTGAAAGTCCTTTTCCAGAAAGGAGTTTAGCAAACATGGACAGATATATCCAATAGCACAAAAGAAAAAAGATCTGGTCACTAGCTTTACCTCAGTAGCCGATAATCGCTTATCTCCATTATCACTTCCAACTCCCGAATCAGAATCCTTCTTGCTGGGATAGATGTCATCAATATTGAATTCATTTAGGAAAAATTAAAAGCACAAGTCACACCAAGATATATCAATTATATTCTAATAGTTACTTTCCTATACAAATTTGTATTATTATTATAAGGCAACAAATCAGCCTAGTATTAAAGATTATAAAGACACAGACCCTACAAAAATCATAGATTTGTACCACCCAAAAATACAAGAGAAATGCTTTAAGTTCAGTTTTTCCCACTCTTAGACTTCATGATTCTTTGAAACAGTTACCAATTTTCTTATTTATTCCAGCATATAAAAAAGCAGTAAACTGTGTAACTGATTTTACCTCTTAACTTACAAAATGTTTTCAAGAATTCTGTATACTTTTTTTTAAATTTTTTTAAAATTTTTTTAGTTATCGGCGGGCACAACATCTTTGTTTGTATGTGGTGCTGAGGATCGAACCCGGGCCACATGCATGCCAGGCGAGCGCACTACTGCTTCAGCCACATCCCCAGCCCATATGCTTTTATTTGGTGATTATATAAACTTGATAGAATCTTTACAAACATAAAATAATGGATACATACTTGAAATATTACTTGAAAATACAATTAGGGTAGTCTTTTAAGTTGCCCTGTTTAGGAAAAAGTGAGGAAAAGACTTCTGCAATGGAGACTCCTCTGAAAGGACTTGTATTTCTCCAAGTGTGTTCATTGTGGGAATTGTTTGGAAGGTCATTTGGAAGGTCAAAGCCTGATTTATGCTATAAATGACCCAAGGACATGTGAAAGGATCCCAACACTTCCATTTGAAACAGGAAGTGGCAAAAAACTACACATTGCATTTCTGAGAAACAATTTTTAAAAAGCCTGTGTTCTTCTTAACAAAGTTCAGAAGGCACACTGAAAAATCAGTAATTGTTAAAAGGGCATGTCTGAGCTTACCTGACTGATAAGTAAAAAATGCCCACATTTATATTATAGATCTTACTTATATGTATGCATACACTACTCAGGAAGGACTGATTATTGATTAGGAAATGAAAGCTGAGATATTAAGAGATGCCAAAACATTCTCAACAGCTTCAATTTTTCTTATTCCAATGGTTTCTGAACTCTGAATTATAAAGTAGAATTGGGTGGTTGAAGCAAATAAATTTTTGTTCGTTACCTGAACAGGCTTGGCCTAAGCAAAATTTTTTTCCCTTTTTTTTTAAAAGAAATAGATTTATTATTCTGATCTTAAAATAGCATAGGCTCACATGGGGGTTGGATGGTGGTCACCAGTAATGACAATAGGCAATAAAGCCCTCAATTTAAATTCAGATGGGAAGCCTCCTAGATGTTTTTCTGAGTGAAGGCATGGACTCACCTGTCTTCAATATGCTGGTGTAAGTGAGGCCTCTCCATGGTGTGGAGATAAAGGGAGTCAGTTGTCTTAATCTGGCACGCTTGTATGCTCAGATACTTAAATATGTGCACTTTTCCCTTTGTGCAAATCTGCAGAGAAATTAATAAAGCACATTAAGTTTTTAATGACAAAACAAATTTTAAGTACCAGATACATATTTTAGTTTTCACAATTTCAGTTTATGTAACACTCTTAACGATGCACACTAAATTGGACCTTTCCAAAACATGTAAGGATTTGGGGTATCATTTCTACAAATTCTACTTTAACTAAAAAACCATGCTCAAGAAATTCCTGACTTTTTAAAAAATTAAACTACAAATTTCTAACAGAGATGTATTTAAGTATAGTGTAATAAGTATAACAGATAACTGGACTAGCAGCATTCCAATAACAAAAGATGATAAAAGCAGAATTATTTTCAAGCCCATAAGGAAGCAATTAACAGTTTATAAATAATTGAAGGTTTAAGAACTTAAGTCATTTGAAAAATGACTAAACATGAAAACATTTACACATTTACATCTGAAAGAACATCTACTTCTTATTGTTCTTATGCTTATATCTGAGCTTGAGCCCTATCTCTAAACAATCAATAATCAATTTTTAATATGTTTAAACTCCATTTTGCAGCTATGATTCAAATGAGGAGCATAGTACCCCTTTTGTAAATCACCTGCTCCCTGAAAAAGTTTCTAAGGTATGTATACATGACAAAAATCAAATACATAATTCTGGAGCTGGAATGGCCAAAATAGTGAGTCAAATGCAGGTAAACAGATTGGATTCCGCAGAAGGCAACTTAGTATAGTCTGATTCACCTAGGGTTTCATCTTTTCAGATTTGGCACTTGCTTCTGATCACAATTGATACAGTATTATTCAGTAGATAATGGAAGTGGCTCACCTGAGCTGGTGGGGACTGCAGGGGATTGTTCTCAAGCAGCAACACTTGCAACTGCTTCATCTCTCTAAAGCAGATGGGAATCACCAGCACTTTGTTGCAGGAAAAGTCAAATTTTACCAAGGGAAGATCTACTAGTTCTAAAAGAATAGAAAAAAAATTTTTTTTCAGAAAACAGCCTAATTAAATGGCTAAATATTCTCAACTTAATTTTCTTTTTAGTGGGAAAAACATCACTTAGCATAATCAAAAATAAGTCGTATATTAGGAATAGGTAGTATGTATACACAGAATTTCATTAAATGGGAAAAAATCTTTCACTGGGATCTCTGTAATTGTTGTTAGTTCTGGTAAGAGCTGAAAACACTTGATATTTACAATGTCTATTGTTTAAAAAGTCCCCCTCCCCTTTTCTTTCCAGCAAAAGAATCATGCAAGCCATGTCACACAGGATATGTTTGTGTTTCAACTTTAAACTGTTTTCAAGTAACACTTGCTAGCACATGAATAATATGCTAATTACAGAATATTCTTATCTATTCAATGTATCTGGGTTGGCATAATCCCAGAATTAGTTAAAATAAACATGTTTATGGTTTTTTTTAAATGGATTTTATCAAATGTTATCTAATTTAGGATTTTTCCAATGGGCCCTATAATTCGGATTTGATGAGGCTTTATTCCACTGCTTTTTAAGTCCTGTGTAGCTCTGCTAACAAGATGGAACATTATATTTAGCTTAAAATCCCCACCCAGTGGCACAGTAAACACTCAGTAATTTCAAGCATTCAAACCGACATTGGCAGCTGCTAGAAACAAGTCAAATGTATTCCATAGAGCAAAGAAAGGCTGAGCCACGCCAGAATCCAGGGTGATGCTGGCAAATCACTGAGCACTCGGTCAGAGGCTATGGGAGGTTCACTCAGAACGGGACTCTGGCACTCTTATTATGGGATTCTTGGTGCTTTAAAATATTCCAGCAGTTCCAAAGTGAAGGAGGGCAAGAGCCAGCTAAAGAAAAGGATCTAACAAACAGAGAGGAAGAATTCACACTATATCCCCCCTGCCTCCACCATGCCTGAGGGTTTTCACTTTACTTGGCAACACAGCTTAAAATTCCACCACCAGAGATTTCCCTAGTCAGGAGTGTCTTCTTCCCAGAATTCATCATGCTCTAGGAGTAGAAGGGACTTTCCTTCTTTCATACCTTAGTGAATTACTTAGTCTTAGGCAAAGGAGTGGTGGGCCTGAAAGTTTAGAAGGAGGCAAGAGCACACCCAACTCTCAGGTCCCAGAGTCAGGTCCATGATAGGTGAGTTATGTAGGAAACTTAGAAAGTGTATTTTTAAAAAGAGACCCCTGGGCCAGAAGCCAAGGAATTTTTATTGCATATTGTCCTTAGCAGTTAGTTCATTGCTCAAACACAGCTCTCATCTGGACTCACAGGAGGATGAGCACCTCAGGCCACATTAGTCATGAAGGTCATTTGGATGAAGGGGCTGGGAGCAGCTGACGTGGAGAGAGAGGTAAGCCTGGAGGACTTGGAAGCACAGAAATAAAAGGAAAGTTTAGATGCACACACCCCCGTTTCTGTTATACTAGGGATTGAACCTGGGGTGCTTTAACACTGAGCCACGTCCTCAGCCCTTTTTATTTTTTATTTTGTGACAGGGTCTCACTAAGTTGCTAGGACCTCACTAAGTTGCTGAGGCTGGCTTTGAACTTGCAATCCTCCTGCTTCAGCCTCCAAAGTTGCTGAGATTACACGTGCATGGCATCATGCTCGGCTAGATGCCCTTTCTTCTCCTAGTTCCTAAAAATGAGGGGGATTACAACAGAGAGCTTCCTCCCTACTGCAATGCCAAGTCTCACCCAACTCAGGGTATCAAATCAGTGGCAGAATGTAACAGGACTCCAGATCTTTGCCACTTAAAATGAAAACCCTGAAGGATAGACTAAAGGGCTAAATTCATGCGAAAATAGCAGTATGTAACTTACAGGGAAATAAACAAAGGAATGACTCGATAATGATGATTTTCTTTCCTGTAGTTTCTATTTGGAATGCTGAATTTCTGTAGCAGCTTTGGAACATGAGAACTTGACAAGTTTCCCAGCAATGAAATGAGAGACTGCAAGGACAGTCCAAAAAAGGTTCAAAGAAATGGAGAAAGGTAAGGAAGAAAAAGGATCAAAGAGAAGAAGAGGAGAAGAGGGAGGACAAGAAGAAGGAGGAGTAATCCCATTTCTCTCTCACCACTGCAAAGAGGGGCAATGAATGGATATTTTAGCCCTCTGTTCATTCTGGCTCCAGAAAGAACAAAATATGGTCTCCTTGTTGTTGTATAAAACCACCACAAAATTGATATGCGTAATTAGGCCACAGAGTTCTCTTTTTTTTCCCCCTCCTCAAATTGAAAGCATATGAGGAGGGGTTCCCAAAGACGACACACATGTAAGTAATATGCACAGTTCCTAAAGCACACTGCCTGAAAGCATTATCAGTGCTATTCTGTCAACAGAGTTCTCCAGAGTGAAACAAAAAAGAAACTGGATATTCAGGAAATCTTTCTTTCTTTCTTTCTTTCTTTCTTTTTTTAAACAAGGATTTTCCAGGAAACTAAAGTTTTAGCTTTAAATCTATTTTTAAAATTATCAAAACTGAGAAAACATAATCATGGAAAGTAGCAATTTGTGACTGATCTTTTTAGGGAAAGGAATATTTCTCAAGTGAGAGAATAAGAAGAGGTGAGAGGGGGGGCTGTGGCTGTGGTACAGTGGTAGAGAGCACTTGTCTAGCACATGCGAGGCGCTGGGTTGATCCTTAGAACCACATAAAAAATAAATAAATCACATAAAGAAATTGTGTCCAACTAAAACTAAAAGAAAAATTAAAATTAAAATTAAAAATGGAGAGGTGAGAGAAACAAAAACCTAGATTTTGCAGGTGCAAAATTTTTTCCAAACACTTCTAGATTATTACAGCAAACTGTAAAATGATGTCAATCATTTTTTTCTTTTGGAAATCAAGAGTTAGATTTTTTGTGATGCTTTCACAAAAAAATAAGCGTGGGGATCCAATTTAAAGGAAAGTTTTCTTTCATGTGTGAAAACGGATGTGTATAAATTTGCTCTTAATAAAAAGTCTCCCATTTGTAACTTGCGAAAGCCAAGAAAAGCTTATACACATTCAAAAAATGTGACTGCACGCTGACAAGATGAAAAATCACTATTTTTATATGAATGCATCTCAAGTAATAAAGTAATAAATCTTACACTGAGATACTTTCTAATTCTACTTCTTTAAAAATGTAAATCAGCAGGAGAAAGGTGGGAGGTGGCTGGTGAGCACCTGATCTTCCAGCCATCAAACACCATGCATTTTGCAAAGTTGTCATCCAGGACTCCATGAGCTCTGTTCTCTTGCCTTAAAGAATAAGGCTGCTCAAGCCAAAGATCAAGATGTGGGAACAGGACAATAAAAATATCAGGTAGCTCTCAAGTTGGTGCATTAATGTCAAATGAACCTGATGCTTACCACTTCCAAATACCTGCTTTTGGTTTTATTTTTTAAGTTATATATAATAGTAGAATGTATTCTGACATATCACACGCATAAGGAATGTAAATTCTCATTCTTCTGGTTGCACATGATGTAGAATTACATTGGTCTTGTAATCAGATATATTTTTAAGTTTATGTTTGAAATCGGGTATGTCTAGATTCCTCAAACCAAAACTATGGAAACCAAGGTGATCTTTAAAAGTGAGCGTGTGTGATTCAGCATTCTGCTGCTCATCTATTCCTTCCTGACCCAGGCCCAAACCCAAATTTGAAATCCATATCCACTACCCACAACAGGGCTGCTTTCAAGCTCTTAATGTACAACATATCTAAATGAATCTTCTTTGTACGTGAACCCTCATCTACCATACTGGAGGGACATGCTGCAGAAGCCCACAACTTCCAGAGCAGGGCTGTATGAAGGACTCTTCATGCTCAGGGCCAGGAAGACCCAAGTCTCAATGCTGAGGCTATGGGACCTGCACGGTGAAATTCACCAAAACTACCACTGACCAAGGCTCAACCCTCAGGGGCAGCACCCTCACCAAGAACTGAATCTGAATACTGGGGTTCACAACCAGGGCTCCTAGATCCCCAAGGCTAGAAATCTTGCTAGCCAGGTTCTGCAGGATCCTTCAGGTCTAAGCGTGTCCCCTAAACTATTGGCTTCATCTTCCATAACATCACACATGTATCCAAAAACAATTCATGCTGCTGCTATTACAAACGGTTGGCTTGTGTGCCTCTAAATCCTAACCCTATATCAGGCTATAAATGTATTTGGAGCATGGCTTTCCATGAGGGCATTAGGATTTATCCGTTGGTGTCATTATAAGAAGAGACCAGGACACAGACACACATAGAATCTCAGACTTTTGGTCTCCAGAACTGGGAAGATAAATTTCTGGGTTTTTTGTTTTTTACGTTTTTTTTTTAGTTGTAGATGGACATAATATCTTTATTTTATTTATGTATTTTTATGTGGTGCTGAGCATTGAACCCAGTGCCTCACATGTGTGAGGCAAGCACTCTACCACTGAGCTACAACCCCAGCCCTAAATTTCTGTTCTTTAAGCCACCCAGTCTAGGGTTCTTTGACAGCAGCTTTAGCAGACTTATACACCCTCTCCCACCCTCCACAGCTATAGACAAGGGAATGGTTGTTACTATGGCCCTTGATTGTATGAAGTTACAACTATAACATCCCTTTTTGGTCACTTACATGTGAAATTCAAATGATTAAATATTAATAGGCATACACACGAAATAAGATGTACCCTCTTCACAAAAGTAAACCACAAAAACAATAATAAATGTCTCCCATTTTCTTCACCTTACCCTCCACCCCGTTTTTTTTTAAAAAAAATCCTTACCTGGTGGCAAAACCTTCAGGTAATTCCTCCTGACGTTCAGCTCCCGGAGAGACTTGAGCTGGCCTATCTGCGGGGGCAGCGCTGTGATCTCGTTGCAGCTCACATCCTGCATGGAAAGCCAGGAGAGAAAAAATCAGTGCCTCTCTCCAGGATATCAAGCATTTTGTGTAAATTCTCCTTAGGGACCTTAAAGAGCTGGACAACTACACAGGTGTCTCCAGGTCCCTAGCAAGTCAGGCTCAGCACAGGGAAGAAAAAGAAAGTTCAGTTATAAACACCCTTGGGAGAGGAGAAAAGGGGAGAAAGAAGGATGCTAAATCTGTAGCTGCTTCTGCCACACTTGCTTTTCACATGCTTCCATTTAAATCTCACGACAAACACATGCAACAGTATTACTAGCCTAACATTTATAGATCAAAAATATGAGGCTTACTGGCCCAGTGCCTGCAAGTGCCCTCCATGAGGGACTGGCCCAGTGTTAAGCTGGTGCCTCTTGGTGCTTCTAGACAGAAGAGACAATGTCTTCTGTCTTACAAAACCCTCAAGTTCAGGAATATGGATTGTTTCAGTTTAGATGTGTTATCCCCCAAAAGCTCACATGTCAGACAATGCAAGAAAGTTTGGAGGAGAAATGATTGGGTTATAGCCTTAACCTAACCAGTGAATTAATCCCTGATGGGATCAATTGAGTGATAACTGAAAGCAGATGGGGTGTGGCTAGAGGAGGAGGTTGATTGGGAGCGTGGCTTTGGCTTTGGGGTATATATTTGTATCTGGCAACGGGAGACCTCTGTCTCTCTTTCTGATCACCATGTGAACTGCTTCCCTCTGCCACACTCTTCCTCCATGATGTTCTGCCACGTTGCCCTGAGAAATGGAGCCAGCCTTCCATGGATTAAGACTTCTGAAACCATAAGCCCTTAAATAAACTTTTTATTTCTTTTTTAATTTTTTAGTTGTTGATGGAACTTTGTTTTATTCATTTATTTTACACAGAGGTGAGAACTGAATCCAGTGCCACGCACGGGCTAGGCAAGCACTCTACCACTAAGACACAACCCCAGCCCTTAAATAAACTTTTCCTCCGTAATTTTTCTGGTCAGATCTTTTAGTTGCAGCAGGGAAAAAAGCTGAGTGAAACATGAATGTACTGTCTGGTGCTTATTTATTTAAAATAGGGTTCTTAACAAATGGCTGGCAATCTTGTAGCTAATAAGCAAGACTGTGGGTAGGAGGATTTTGTCATCTTTGCTTTAGAAGACTGATGCCCTATTCATCCTTGATTGGAACCACATCTTGACGCACATAAAATGGGAACCATGACTTGATAGTCTTATATATCCTTATTACCTCACTAATCCTACTCTGTACCTTCTCCTCTCCCCAACTCTGCTCCTCCTTCACTCTGGATCACCGCTCTCTCTCATTGGTTATATATGGCAACCAATGACCTCCTGAATGGTTTCCATACATCGCTCTCCCCTTCAGATCCATCCTTCTCAGAGCTGCCAGGGCACACATTTCATTATGGTGTCTACCAGCTTAGATATCTGAAGAAAGTTCCAGCATCTACAATGGGTCTGTCAGTTCTTCCCTTGAATCCTACATTCAAGCCATAGGGTCCTGATCATCAGTATGTGCCACTGTTTAGTGGTCCCAAAATGTACTCACACTATTTCCCTGCCTGATGTCCATGTCTACAAAAATGTCATCTTGTCCCACTTATTCGTCTTTTAAGACCTAATTCAACTCTCAACCCCCTCTTTGAAATCATCCACGAGGTTCCCCTCCCCCTCTGATCCAATACCTGAAAGACGGCCCACCTTTCCCTGTGTGGTCCCATACACAGTGTGTTCACTGGCTTTGCCTCCCCCACTATGAGATCCTCAGCATTCTCCTGGTGTCTAGCACAGGGCCCCGGTATAAAGCAGAGACCAATGAATGCTGGATGAATGTCCGAAATCCATTTACACTGACACTTCATGATGTTGTAACTCCTTCTGCCTTTTGGCTGGGAGCCCAGGATGCTCCAACATATTTACTTAAATTTCAAGAAGGCCCTACTTAGTATTGGAGATATTCAAAGACAGAGTCACATTATAAATGCTCTCCATAAGACCATGTTCTTAAATATCCCACTTTACTTTGGAACCCACAATCCACTTCCCACTCACCTTTGAAGGCACCATGGCCCGTGTATCAAAAATCCATTTCATTTTCATTCAGATGAAATTAACTCATCACTGAGATGAACTCATCCCCTGCAGCTCCTGATCCCTGTTAGACCAGGGCTATACACTGTCAGTGAATCCCCACCCTCTGACTATTTCATCTACAAGTCCTCAGGCACCTGTCATGATCATCATGATGCTCAATAGATGAGAACGAACAATATCGTTGCTGCTAAAAGAGAACCATGCTGCCAGCCAAGAAGCCTGAGTGCACAGGTGTCGTGGACCCACTATAGTTTTCTGTCCTCGGCTGCTGAAGCAGAGCGGTGGGATGAGATGGGTTAGGAACACGAGGTGTTCAGTAGCATTGCCCCCAAGCTGCTGCACTTCTCCTGGTCCAGGACAGTCACACACAATTTTAAGAAAAACACTCCCAGTGTTTAAAACAATGGAACTCCATGAACACTCCCCTAAAGAGACAAGGACATGTGGGGAGGCCAGGACAGAAGGAGGAGGTGGCACAGGATCCGCCACAGAGGTGGGCAACCAAAGCCTTCCATTGAAAGCCGCACCTTTCTTTGCCTGAACTAAGAAAGAAACAAGCAAGAGGCACCATTCCATTCCCTTTTAAAAGATTCCAGTGGAACACAGGCAAGCCTCAGAAATACGTGTCAGCAAGATCTCGCTGGTGGTGGAGGTGAGGGTTGTGGGGAAGAATTACAGGGAATCATTTTCCATCTGTAGAGAGAATTTATGTTGTTGGACTCTAAAATAAGTTTCATTCTTTTAATAAGTTTTATGAATGACAGCAGGAGAAAGACCCTTTTACAGATCATGAAACTCACTGATTTTGAATGTGAAACTGACAATTTTCAGAGGTTTCAAGGGCATCATTAAGAAATTCTTTCTCTCAAAAAATAAGGAGTACAGAGAGGAATGCCGCGACACGTGACTCAATCAGTCAGGGTCACTTCAGGTGAGCTGGGCTGACACTAAGTAATCACACAGGCACAGAAAGTACCTTTTTCTTGGGGTTCAGTGACGGCTCTTCTGCCCCAGGCTCCCACAAAGGAGGCAAGGGAGGTAGACAAAAAAGAGAGCGAGTGCAGCCTGAAGCCCTATTTATTGGGGGGAAGACACTTGAGAGAGTTCCACCCAAATGAGGCAAGCGATTGGGTTTCAGGGGGGTGTAGCCCAGTCCCATTGGGTGATGCCCACACCCAGAGCTATTCTCCTGCGTAGGGGAAGCCAGTTCCACACTTCTATCGCTCAAGGCTAAGGGCACGTGCTCAGATCCTATTCAGACAGAGGAAAGCAAGGAGATAACCTAGACATTTAATCCGCATATGCACAGCATGAAATCTCCTGACATGAAACTCACACTTATTCTATTTTTTTAGCATGAAACACACACACACACACACACACACACACACACACACACACACCTTGCACTTTGCTGGTCATTCCAGAGTTGACCATAAAATCAGGGTAAGCCATCTCTCTAAATGTAAGTTAATTTTTCCAACATTTATTTCTAACATAATGGCCTCATCAAAGAAATTAACTTCTGTCAATTATATTTAAATAGTCACCAGCAGAAAAAAACAGTTACTTGGTAGACTTAAAAAATAAAGAAACAAACACTTCCCATAATGATAAAAACAAAATTTTCATCTGAATGATAGGACATCTGTAGACAATTTGAAACGCAAAGTCCAATTGTCTATTCACATGTTGAAGGACACAGGGTAAAAGCCAGATTATTTTAATAGTACTATGTACTCTTGGTTACTTCCTCCACTGACAAAATAATGGGGAGACATTACCCTGGCAGATATAGCCCATAAGGGAGATAAAGACTTTGCATCATCATGCAATCAATATTGCAGAAAACAGTGCAAAACTCCAATCCCCACAAGTCATTGAACCTTGTCAAATTTTAAGGAGGTTATGAATTTCATCACAAAAATAAAACCCCATGGGTAATTATGTCTTAATTAGCTGGGGAATGAGGAAGAAAGAGGAGATAATAGTCTAGATGTCTAGGGATAAGATAGTACAGTTTTGAAAATATGCAAAAAATATTTCTAGAATGGCCCCATTTTCTAGAACATTTTGGTCCAAATTTAGTCTAGAATAAGTTATGGATTTTTATTTAATTATCTGATGAAGTTAATACTTAGGAAAATAAATTTTAAAAGTAAACAACCCTAATGCCTGACACTTCTGCAGTTAGTGAGAATTTATCAGGTTATAAATTCCAGGCTCGCTTACTTAATTATCAAATGAATTAATTTTGAATTTTCTATTATCCCTAAGCTATGTCTTTAGAGAATAATTATTTCAAGCCTCTGTGAAATCAAATTACCACATATTTAATGTTACCATATTACAAATAAACAAGTAGATCAAGAAGAATCGTGAACATCTGTTAGATGTATCAATTTCATTCTTTTTGATACAGAAATAAATCTAATTATAAATAATCTAAAAAGCTTAAGTTTTTCATGAACCATTCTGTCCAACTTTGTTATTCTCATAAAAAACAAAATAGAAAATTCTAACTATGATTTAAACTCTACCTATTTTCTATGAATTTAAACATCATGTTAAAAAAAAAAAAACCTTTGGAAATTAAGGTTCTCTCTTTGTCACAGTAATGGAAGTCTTTCATTTTTGTTGCTAAATGCTAATTGCTAACCTACCTTCAGAATGCAAAATGAGAAGGATTTATAATAATATAATTAATTCAGGAATTATTAAGCTAAGTGATGCTCACTCATTTGAGAACACGATATTTCAAAAAAGACGAGAAGTGTTTTTACAGCAGTAGCATCTAATGAAAACTATCATAAACAAGATGATGCGTCAAGATGATGTTGGTTAGAGCAGAGTCCAAGGAGACCAGGCCACACTGTGGAGTTGTAGGTGGCCTCTTACTAGTGACCTTGCTCTGGCATTCAGGTTTTCAAAAGCTTAGTGCGCTGATACTAATTATTAGCTTAAGTAGAATTTTTGGTAATAAATTCTCATGATCCATTTAATTAATGGAATACAATGTTCTGACAGGAAATGCAAGCTGTTAACATTCCACTCGCCTCCTGTCATGTATCCATGCCCTTCCATGGAAATCCCTTCAGTATGGCTCAGTGAGGAACTTCAGGTATGGATTACCTTCTCTGTGCCTATAAAATAAAAGGTAAGCTTTGAACAACTAATTTTCTCCCAACATCAGGAAGACCCATTTCTGATATCCGAAATAATGAAAACACTTTGGTCAAAACACAGATATCTTGACTTGTTAACAACAGAAAAAAAAAAGAAGAAGAAAGAAAACCTCATTGCTTATGGGGCATAACTTTAAAAAGAAGAAAAGTCAACATGTTCACTTAAATACAAATACATTTAAATACAAACCACCTTCAGCAACCTCTGGTATGATAAAGAATCTCAACACCAGAGTCTCTCTCCAGGATAAAACTCTACTTCACACCCCTCCAGGTACCCACAAACTCATGCTCCACACTGTGGCTCTTCCTAAGAAAGGCAGAACTGGAAGCCACAGAGGGACCTCAGCAAGCTTAGGGTTTCCTACCGTCCCACAGGAACCACAGATGTTAGAAGGCATCTCCGAGACCAGGAATGGACAAATGGTTAGGGAGGATACCTGCATTTACATGGCCTTTACATGCTGCAGTTTGAAACGCTATGCATAAAAATAATCAAGAAGCCGTTTTCCTCAGAAGCTGCTCAATACATCATGTGTCTAGAATCGATCTTTGAATTCAAACTTCCCACACTTCCAAACATTTCATGAAAAGTGAATCACAAATAGTGTGTCTGTTGAGGGCCAGGAAACACCTTCCAACCAGTTATCACTTGAGCAAGGTCTTCTAAGTTTTTGGATGTCAAAATAGGTTTCTAAATCCATGATATTTTGGATTAGAGCTAAAAGACATGACTTTCACCCACTGTGAGCTCGTGGAGGGCAGAACTGAGAAAACCCAAACAAGAGCTGGAGCCCCAATGGACTCCAAGCACATAAAACCAATGAGAAACTCATAGATCTCTGGCAAATGCCCCGCAAAATGCTCTCAGTTTACTGTGCTCTGCCTTAGTGTGTTGATCTTCACAGCTGTCTGTTACCTGTAACAAGAGACAGCACCTCTCACCAAATACCTCATCCCTCTGCAAGATTCCTCAGTAAGAGCCAGGTTTCCAACATGTTCAGAAGGATTGGACGGGTAAAACGAGATTTAGTCAATACAAGATAAGACTATAGACCCCACCTGACTTGGTTCCACAGTAAGAAAATTTTCCAACACAGATACCATTACTATAGACTCCAGGAAAAGAAATCACCAAGTGCTTGCAGCCTAGAGAAGGTGACAGTGGCTACACTGTGGTGTGGGCCTTATTTTGTTTTTACTTTTTGCAGTAATGGGGATTGAACCCAGGGCCTTGCACACATTAGGTGAATGTTGTAACATGAAGCTACATCCCCAGCTCTGTGGTGTGGACTTTAATCAGACAAACCTGCTTCTGATCCTAGTTCCACCATGTAGCCACATAGCTTTGGGTACGTCATTCCTAAACTGGCCATTTGTCTACAAACTGTAAAAATGATACAGGACTACCTGGGTTATTTCCAAGATTCTATGAACTACTACAAGTCATACTCTAGCAGACTACCTGAAATAAGGAGGTACTCAGTAAATGTTAGCATTTTACCTCCTCCCCTCACAGAAAACACATGCAGAGACAGGCTTACAAAGCAACATCAACGTACACCACACCTGTAGGATGACAGCAGGTAAGAAGTCATTTGGAGTGGTCAAGGTCAGAGAGTTGTACATTATTCCCATCAGATATGACCCTCACAGAACCAGCTCGAGAGAGCTAAAGATTCCACAAGATTTGCCCCCACAGGCAATGTGGACACACACCACCTGGCCAATGTTCTTGGTTCCAAAAAAGGACATCTCATAGGTGGCTTCTTCATGGGAAGAGAATGACTTTTTTTTTTTTTTTTTTTGGTGCTGGGGACTGAATCCAGGGCCTTGTGCATGCAAGGCAAGCACTCTACCAACTGAGCTATATCCCCAGCCCAAATGACCACTTTTTGGTATTCCCTGACAATATGAAATGGCTGGACATGACTTGACTACACTGGGAATGCTTTTTGTTTTAAGATTAGAAGGTAACTGTGATATAACTAAAAAGGTAAGATAATGTTCTCCAATTTCACTCCCTTCCCAAAATAAGAAAGGACAACTATTTTCCTGTAGATGGCAAGGTATTCTGGTTTGGTTTTTCAAATGGATGTTAAACTCGAATGTTCATCCACACTTGGAAGAAAAGAGTTTACAAACCAGTTTTTAGATACTCTTGAGTCTGATGTAAAATTAAAAAACACATTTTTTTTCCCCAAAACAATCAGCAAACAATGCCGAGGGACTGATAAGCTGAGCCACTTCCTCAGCATGTTGCACTAAGCTCAAACATTCTGCCTCCATGAGGATTCTGTTAACAAACTGGTAATATGTGACTATAAAACAGAAGCTTCTCTCTCTCTCTGTCCACCTCTCTCTCACTCTCTCTTTAAAAAAAAAAAAAAAAAAAAACAGAAGCTTCCTGCTGTAATTCAAGAATTGCTTTAAGCTCTGCAGGGAGTTTTTTGTTCCAATTGATAACTAAAAATAATCTGACATGGTTACCTATAGTAACACCACTATTTTAAGCAGATATCAAAGATAAGGGATGGAAAATAATCTTTTTTTAGTCTGTGACCTTAACCAAAGCCAGTCACTTCCTTGTGGTTAAATAATGTCAACTTATTAACTTTTCAGCTACTTCACAGATAAATGCTTTTTACAAAGAGCACTCTTGCTCAAACACTGCAGGCAGCAGAGAAGAAACTGCACGGGCTTGACAGGGCCCTCTCTTGTCATGCCTAGTGGCTACTGAGCACCAGAAATGTGGCTGTCCAACCTGCAATGTGTTGTCAATATAAAATGCAGGTTGGATTTCAAGGACTCAGTATGTTTGATGTTTAATAATCTTTTGGCTATGTGGCTTCACATAGAATATTGTTAAATTAACTTGCTTCTTTTTACTTTTTAAGATATGGTCACTGGTACATCTCAAATCACCTTTACTGTTTACTTTTCCACTGGACAATGTTTGGTGAAGGTATTTCGGCTTAGGTGACCACTTAGCAAGGGCAACCTTCCCATACGTTGCTGTCTCTCTGATCTAGGTTTCTTCAAGAAGTCAAGAGCTTGTGGCTGGGGATATAGCTCAGTTGGCAGAGTGTATGCCTCGCATGCATAAAACTCTGGTTCAATCCCCAGCCTCCCCCACCCCCCCCATACACACACAAATAGAGGTCAAGAGCTTGGACTATATGCCTTTTAAAATCAAGGGTGAACTCGAGGGGCCTAGAGTTAGTGCTGGTGGAGAAAAGTCACAAGATCTGGGAGAAGACAGCACAGTAATTAAGATGCAGGGTACCCTTGCCAGAGTGGGGCACAGGACAGGGGCCTAAGAAAAGCTCAGAGTTCCTTAAACCACATACCAGCTCCAGTGCCAGGACTAGAGGCAGCACTGCTCCAGACATGCCAAAAATCTTTTACAGACTCACGGTACCCTGTTCTTTCTGTCCTCTGACTTAATTATATGCCTTCCTATATTCTGGCCTACTAACTTATTTGCAGATTATTTCTTTGGGTTAGCCATAATTTTTCATAATTTATATATAATCTGGAAAAATTAACTAACTACAATGTGATAACCTGCCAACCTCAGGAACTATAAATTCTGCAAACTTCAGGATCTGCATAAACTACAGGACACTTATAAATTTTAGGAACTGTGTCACAGCAAAGCCACAGGCTGCTGGCGTCATGTCACCCCATTTAATATCCTTATAAGTGCACTTCAGCAACCTAGCTCTGCTATGGATTGGATGTGGTGTGTCTGAAGCTTAGTCCCCAGTTTGGTGGTATCAAGAGGTGGTAGAATACATAAGAGGCGGAGCCTGGTGGGAGGTGGTTAGGTCACGGGGATTAACATGGTTCTCCTGAGATCCCAGTAAGGTCCCATGAGAAAGTTGTTATAAAAAACAAGAGCAGCCCTCCTGCTCTCTGGTTTCTCATCTCACCATGCGACCTCTGGCATTTGCCCCACAAGCTGTATTTTGATGAGCTGAGAGGTCTCTCACGAGAGGAGAAGTGGACGAGGACACCTGATCTTGGCCATTCAGCCTCTAAAACTGTGAGCTAAATAAAGTTTCTTTCTTTATAAAGGATTCTGTCTTGGTTATTTTGTTATAGCAATGGGAAATGGACTAACAGAAGCTTCTCCTTACTTAAATGTAGCAAAAAAGTCTTTTAGAATACCCTGATAGGTCATGATTGGTCAACAAACAAAAAGAGCATCTTAGAAATCAGTAACATACCAGCTCCATTAACTGTTTGAGCTGACCTATCTCTTCTGGTAGTGATCCCAGCTTGTTGTTACTTGCGATTAAGACTTTGAGAGGCAGACCACACAGGCAGGCGGGCAGGGCAGACAGCTGATTTCGACTGTAAAGACAATACAACAGAAACACACATAAACAGAAAGGCCACTTCATACTATCTGTGAACACGTTTTTTAACAAGAAAAGAAAAAGAAGCCATCTGAGAAGATATTTTCCAAATACAAAAATCCCAATACATTCTCTGGTAATAGCTCAAATTACAAAAACAGAAGAAAACAAAATATATTTTTTTTAAAAAAGAATGGAGGGTGGTAGATAGAAACAGAATGGATAACAAGTACCAAAAAACAATTAAATAGGGAGAATACATTCTAGTATTCTACAGCACAGTAAGGTGACTAGAGTTCACAACAATGTATTTTATATTTCAAAATAACTAGAACAAAGAGTCTGAAGGTTTCTAACACAAAAATGATAAATATTTAAGGATAGGGAAATACTACCTTGATTTGCTCATTATAGGTTACTTACATGTATTGAATCATGACACTGCATCTGCCAAATATGTACAATTATTTTGCATCAGTTATAAATAAATAAATGGGCAGTTCTAAGAGATGAAAAGATATTGGATCAGTACAATATAGGAATATATATATATATATATATATATATATATATGTAAGCCACTTTTTCCAACCTCTTCCTCACACCAAGCCCTTTTTTCAGCTACCAAAAGAGAAGATAGTTCTCAGATTTTCTGATTTATTTTCCCTGCCACTCTGCTGATGAAGCAAAGGCCACACCGTGAAACACCTAAAAATCTGTATATCGTGTGGCTGCAATTATTTAGAACTTTTGTGTATTGTGCATACATGCATAAAGCTTCAAAGATTGTGTCGTATGTATGTGTGTGTGAGTATGTTTGTGTGTGTGTGTGTGTTTACTAGGATGCATATTTGTTTACGTGTAAAAAGGAGAGAGAGATCAAAAACACACCTAAACATTACCAGTGCTCATTCTGGGATATAAATACAGTAAGTGGTTTCCATTTCCTTTAGTATATTTTACTGTCTTTCAAAAAATTCCTACAAGAGCTTTTGTAACCAGGAAAGAAGCATCTTAACAAAGTAAATTCAATCGGATGTTGCATCGGTCCATCTGTTTGTGGAAACTCACTGATGTATATTTTGTGAGCACTTCTCTGTATGTATGCTTAACCTAAGGGTGTGTCTAACTGATGGGCTCAGAAAAAGCAGGTGCTGTATTATAGAAAGATCCTTTCTAATGTGGGCCTTCTCCTGCCAACACCCTGATACCACTCCTATTCCAGGCACATACCCAGGTAAGTAAGTTTGGGCAAGAAATGGTACAGCTGTATCTTCACTCCATTGCCCAGATCTAAATACATATATACATACACACATCAAATAATAAATTAATTAAATAAATAAAAGCTATTTCTGGAAAGGGGCAGAAGAAGCGCTTTCTCTATAAAAGCCCAGCAGAGGGAGGAGGAGATTCAGAGTCCTCCTGGGGGCAGGCGGGGGTTCCTAGCACTGGAAGAACCAGCTTAACCTCCCTGGTTGCAGGGCTCCAGTGAATTTCTCCTGGTCACTGAGACAACAAGACAATGGAGCGGGGCCAGGGCCACTAGCCTGCCTCTCTCTGTCCTCTCATACCCTTCCTCCTGTCCTCTCTAGCTTGTGGGGACCCAGTGGGACTCTTTTGCTGAATGAGCAGCCTTTCTGGTACCCAGTTGAGAGGGCTTTCACAGGTGCCCAAAATAAGGCCCTATAGATAGGAGCTCTGGAAAAGAAAGCTCAGTATTAAAAGATAGCAAGTGAACAAATTCAAATCAAAATTTGTTGCTATAAAATAGGTGTTAATAGACTATTTCACAAAATGATTAGCAAATAACAATGTTAGCAAGACAATTCTATTATTTTGAAGCCGTATTTAAATTTTCTCCTAAAGAGAAGCTCATTGGAAACAGATTAGTATTTTCAGAAGTTTCTACAGGATTAATAATTACAGACTGAGATACTCCTTTTGCTTTCTTGCTTTGAAATGCAGCAGGTAGATATTCCCAGTCTCACTCTCTTGCTGCAGGCATCTAATCTGATTAGCAGATCTAGGACTGGGAGAGTCATTCATCATAGCAGTGGAGGCAATGTAACAAATGACGGCTCTGCTCACTCGGGCTTACTCTCTCTGGAATTCTTCCAGGGTGGACACTAATTTAATAAAATAAAAATTCAGCCTGTAGCCACTTTCATGGGAATGAGTGGTATTTACATTAAAAACTGTTGAAGGCATAGCGTCTCCCCCACTTGTGCCCCATACATTCCTCCCATTCACTGAGTTGATTACCTGTGGACTTAGCAAATCCACCATGCCAAGAATTTCGTCATAATATAAGATGTCATAGACCTGGGGCATTTTCCTTCCACTTCATCCATCTGTTCCCTCAGCCGCCACTTCATCTATTTTATCACAGGGTGTTCCTGTATTTCTTGCTATTTCCCTAATAGATAAAGGAAATACACATGCATACAAAACCCTATCCATCTCCAGTGAACACTTATAAAGGAGAGAAGAAACTGCATCCTCTTTAATCCTGAACCCACTCCAGACCACATCAGCAGCCTTTGCTTTCTGAAACCACTCATCTGGCAGCAATTTTTTCTCAAGCAAATAAGTGCCTCAGGCCACCATCTACTTTCCTACCCCCACTTGTCTTCCATAGGCATCTGCGCAGAAACAGGCCCTGTGCAGAAAAGAAAGTTTAAAAGTAAAGCCATATAGTATCTGATAAGGTAACAGCCAATATTTCTTTTTCATTCTCGCCTTGAGTCACATCGAAAAAGCAAAATGTATTTTTTTTTTGGCTCACTCATTACAAAAGATGAAATTTGTAAGAGAAAGAGGCTATTCCTTTAGAAGTAGAAATTATAGATTTGGTCATGGTGGCCTGAGATCTTCTGCCCTCACCAGGGAGGAGTAGCCTGCCTGCCAACTCTGGCTTATACTGACCCTTCCCTGTCTGGGCAGAGGCTGGTGGTGGGCAGGAAAGGGCAGTGGAGGTGGCTTTGCTGGGTCCAAGTTCACTGCAAGGGCTCTGTCTTCCACCTTTTTCAGTAGAATGACTCTCAGCTACATTTGTCTATTTCCTCATCTCGAGATGAAATGAGGTAGCTCACCATAATCTAAACATTTTTGGTAGCCTAAATTTATAGGGTATATTCTCTTTGCATCAAGTACCACTGTCCCTCTACTTCACTCCCAAATTAAGAGATTTATAAGCCACGTCACTTCTTATGGTTTGATTTTAAGAGAGTTTATTTTAATGTACTGTATCGTGGCACTTATAATATTCATATTTTGAGACCCAATGTTATATCTGACTTTTTTGATTGTCTGCTTATCAAATGCTTTATTTTCCTTGAAATGGGTAAAAATAGAGACATGCTGTTTTATGTGATTTTATTATTAGGAAACAATACATTTGTTAAAATTCTACAAGAACATACCTCTTTATTTTAGTGGTTTAGTATATTAAGTTCCATCTCTTACTATTGGAATATAAAACTCACTTAGAAAATACTTTATAGAAAAAATTTCTATAGCAGATTTATCTGCTCCACTGGCTGCTTGGTGTCAGAGAAAAGATACTAGTTGTGCAATCAGAAGTCCTGGGTTCAAATCTCACCTTTGCCATAAATCATCTCTATGACTATGAGCAAGTCTTTAAACCTGTTTGGATTTGTCGGCTAGAGAACAGATAATAAGACCTAACTAATGTGAAATTATAGATACAGAAGTGCTTGGCCCAACACTAGATAAAAATTAAACCATCCATCCTCAACCAATAATGTGGCAAAGGAGTGGAAATGTGACCCAAAAGAGCATATATGTGCTCAGCTTCATTTTATTTACTTTTAAAATTTATAATATTACCTAATTGCTAAAATTTCAGTTACTTTTAAAATATGGGATCATGTTCCACTTGTTGAAAATATCAAGATGATTGCTCAAAGACATGCTGGGAGACCAGGCTGAGATATCAAATTTCAGGTCCAAACGAGCAAAATACCAATTTCCGATCTGGATAACCAAGACTAGAACATACACGTAATCATATGATTGAGCATTTCCCTTCCATCTTCTCTAATTCCAGGATCCTCTCCTTTGCTGAGAAAACAAGAAAACCCTGGAGTCACCATCTCTGTTTACAACTTGGTCTTCAAATGGTAACAGACATAATGACATGGAAGCATTAACTTTCACAAAACTATGAGGGCAATGCCACAGGCCTAGATCAACAGGGCCACAGGGAAAGCAGGGCCCGTTCCAAAGCCAGGACACCTGGCTCACTCAGCTAAGAGAAGGGAACAATGACCACATATAGTAGTCATTGTTTTCCTTTGTTTGAGTCTCTGCTTGCCATTTTGACCTTCAGTAAACAGCAGTTAATGTCATCTATTTTTGTTTTTATATTAGTTTATGAACACTCTGTTTACCTTTCATTACAAGCAAAGTAACTTCTTTTTCTGTTTTGCATATGACACCTGTTGTCCCCATACACACAAACCAGTGAACAATATCCATAGAGAACCTTTTCCTTTTTCCTGCTTAGTCCATTCTGAAAAGCCCATCCTGTGAAATGTCTCACCCTTGTTTCCCCTAATGACTGAATACTTCCCCTCCGTGCCAGCCCCCCGCCCCCATTCCCACCATCATTATGTGTCTAAGACAATAACTGCCACCAACAACAGCTTTGCTTTCATGGCTTGGTGATATTTTTGGTCCACTTTAATTTTACGCTACAAAGTAAAGAGCAAACAGAGACTGCCTGACTGCTTCATTGCACAACTGAAAAGTAATATTTTACATTCATTTTTAACACTGAATTTTATTTTTAAATTACTGTTGTTGTTATTATTATTTGGTGCTTGGGCTTCAATTCCAGGCTTCATGCACACTAAGTATGCACTCTCACCACTGTGCTACACTCTCAGCAACAAGGCAGAAATTTAATTGAGAATATACATCTGCATTGAAACTTGGAGCCCAAATTTAACTGTGACCAGCAAGTACACT